TTTATCGCATTTACGAATCACTGCAATCTCTTCAATGAAGAGAGAATTGTTTCATCAGCACTCTGTTTCCGACTCGGCATTTGCCAAGTTTGATTTTAACCGGTACATGCGATCTATACATCGATCGAAAAAATAACTTCGAGGTTAGGTTTCCTGCTGATACTTCACACCTTCGTGAAGTAAAGTATGCATCACTGAACTCGAGGAACTCAATATCTTTACATAACTACTAATAGTATTCTTTTTCAATGATCGCTTTGCTTTCTTAATAGCATAAAAAATTTTCACTAGCCAAAGGATGAAATTTGAGAATTTTTATTACACAGGATTTTACTTGAGTACGCATGCATTGAAATAAAAATCGAAAAAATTTTAAATACCGATTATAATTGTTATGTTTTACGTAAAAATGATCTATGAATGCAGTTTTAATTCAACATTTAACATGCATTTTGAATTCATTTTTAATTCAATTAATTTACTTCCATTCAATTCCCTACAAATTATATTCGATTGGTTTCATTTTTTTATCCATAAAAAATATTTTAAATAAAAAATGAGAGAAAAATTTTAAATTAATTAGGCATTTATTAAAAACTATTCAAACATTTTTTTTAAATTAAATAAGGCATTCATTATTAAAGTTTTCTAATTAACCGATGATTTTCTTTAGTAAATCGATACTGAATTATCAATTTATTCTCGTTATAAATAGTAAAATATTTTTGTAAAATGAAATGTTCATATCTGCACTACCTCAATGTCTTCTATTTGCACCTTTGATATTTATGTTTGAATAAGCAACACAAAAAAAAATATATTTTTCGTTAAAAAATATTTAAATATTTAAAAACTCATTCTTTAACTTTGAGACTATTTTTTTATAAAGATATGCTAAACATGTTTTAGGATATTTCGGTTGACATGAAAATTAAATTATTATATTTAGTTTTTGATACTAAAATATTATGCCTTGGTGTAAGATAAAACTAAAAGTTCATCGTGTGCGTCATATATGACGTCGACAATCATATCCAAACTTCATTTAAAAAAAACCGACATAAAAAAGGTTTGAAAAACCATCAATCTTGAGAAAAAATATTATTAAAAAATCTATTGCATGAAATAAAGTTATTATAAAAAACTCATGATATTACATATGACACAATAGATATAATTGTTGTGAAAAAATCTTTTGGGTTTTATCAGTGCATAAAATCTGCAACCATAACACGTGTCTATTTAAACAAAAAAAAAACATTAGCACTTCATTGCTTATATCATATGATAATGCTGATTCGTATAAGATTCAGGTCTAATCATCGATAAAACAGATTTACTTTTATCTTCATCTTAATACTAAACGAGCGACTCGTTATACTCGAAAAAACGTCCAATTATGAATTAGGTATCTGTGATTGTCACTTTTTTATATTATATTGTAACAATGTTTTCAAATTTCTATCAAATTTATTCATAATCAATTTTTTTGTGCCGATGAAAGTAAGCACGAAAATCCTACACTTGTTACTTGTACTATTACCGAAATGACAACAATATTAAGTTGAATTTATTCTTATTTATTAAAAACATGACTTGTTGAAATGATGAGGGACAAAAGGGTTTACGAAAATTTTTAATGTTATTCAATTTTAGATATTTTTTCGACATTATAATCCAACGTGTGCATAATAATTGATTCCAATTAATGAAAGCCCATCAATCATTGAATTATTTACTAGGGGTACTTAATCTTATCTTCAAATGTAGAATAAGACAACGCGTATGTTATGAAATCATTAGCTCAGTCACAGCAGGAGTTTTATATATTTGTCACGAAAATATGTCATCGACGTTAATCATTTAAGACTTGAAGATAAGTATTATTGTACGGAGCATTGGAGTATATTGAAACTAGTCATTCATCGCAATTCTCACTGAAATCTTCTCTGTAGCCATGAATACGAAAATCATGCGAATTATTTTTGCATTTCTTTTTTTGATTCAAATTGTTATATCTTCAAGTACTTCGAGAGAACGTAGTGTTTCAAAAAAAAGTACTTTGGATTTGGTTATTGGTAATAGAGTACCAGATGATGAACTTGTAACGAGCACAACATTTTTTCGAGAACCAAACAAAGATAAACGCATAATTGCGTTTCGACCGTTTGATGTCCCAAGAGAATATACTATAACACAAGTACGAGTGCTAGATCAAACCGAAGGAAAAGGTGGACGTGCAACATATGAATATGGAGGTCCTGATCGAGTTCTAATTGGATTCCACAGTAAAATTAATCAAGGCATTCACTATGTAATTGAATTATACGCTAAACGTGATAATTAATTTAATGATTTTTTACGAATGAATTAAAAACCAACTGAAACAGATTTTAATAACTTTTTATTACTATTTAAACATTGTACTAATTACTGAATAAAAGTATGTGCTTTTTTATCAAGGAAAATGATTGTTTATTTATTTATTTTTTGTTATAGTTGATATTCATAATCAAGTCAAATAAATTGTAGCTTTTTTTATAGATTTTACCTCCTTGAAGAATAAATTGGAGGACCGCAGTAAGCGATGCTCATTTTTTCTTGAGATCTTATTGAAGGAACGCACTTCCAGCTTCCTGAAAATTAGCTTTGGTCAAATTTGAAACACGAATGAGCGCACTATCCTGGCTAATTTTTCACTTTTCTGTTCATCTTTGTACGTTATCTGAAAGTTAGCTAAAAATGTGCCTTTATTATATAGTTTCATTTCCTAAATTCATCTCCTTTCACCAATCTCGAAACGTTTTGTATTGTTTTTCGTAAAATTGTTCAGATTGTTCGGGTATAATATTTGACCTCACTTTGTTGACCAGCTCCTGGATCACGTTGCTCGAGTCAGTGTCTTCATCGCCTCTTTCACTGTCTTTTTTAGAGCTGATTCAACTCATAATGTTTCCAAGTTCTTTCCAATTTTTTTACTCTGCTTTATTTCTTTACGATAAAAAGCGGGGATGTAGCTCAGTGGTAGAGCGTTCGCTTTGCATGTGAAAGGCCCCGGGTTCGATCCCCGGCATCTCCAGTTTTTTTGTTTCCTGACAATTGTCATCACACACGGGAGCCATTTTACGTCAAATCTTTAGAGCTGTGCCTGCACAGCATTGTAAGGCGAAATCGCACAATTTCTAACTCAACAGGAAAGACCCTAAATTCTCCCAGAAAAATACGTGACGTACGATTTAGATGGGAAATTGACTCAGCATACTGATGGCGGGGTCAGATTTTCGAAAATTTCCATTTTCTCCGGAAAAATTTGACATTAACTTTCAAATTCGATTATCTCAAAAACCACATATACAAGATTTTTTAAAAGGAAATTTCAATTGTAAAAGGTGAAAAAAATCACATTTTGACTTTTTTCTCAAAATCGATGCATTTTATACATTACGAAAGATTTGGAAATTGTTTCTTATAAGTAAAATACAAAAAAAAATTCATGGGACTTAAGACCCATTTTGTCGAATGTAGACAGAGTTTTTTGAAATTCTCGATTTCACAGTACCATCATTCTAGCACTTCTGAAAAAAATAATGACATTTTTTAAAGCAGGCTCTATTCGTAAAATATAATTGTAGTGAACAAACTTCTAAAAAAATTTATTTTTTGCAATTTTGGTATGTTTTTCTGAAAAATTGAATAAAGACAATTTTCAGGGTGAATTCACCCCCTTAAAAAATTTGGGATGATTTTTTTAACTTTTCAGAGGTTGATCCCCTAAAGAACCCCGTAACGATGAAAAAGGCATATGAAAAATAAGGATGTGATCTATAGTTTTCTCTCAATTGTTGAAATCGATTGAAAAAAATTTGTTTCGAGAAAAACACGTTCCAAGTTCAAAGTTTTGCTCTGTACACATTTCGAGCGCGCAAATCGCTTCGGGTAATCGGCTATAACTTTTTTCTTTTATGAATTTCGTTCTAAAATTTTAACAGAGTGTTTATGTAAAAATCGATTTTTTTAATCATTTTAATGGTAATATCCCCTAAAGATTGTAATATCTAGGTTTTGAATACCTTTAATTTTTTTGAATTAATCTAATATGCTTATTGTATTAGAAAATCCACATTTCCACGCCCTATAAAAAAAAAAACTTTTATGGTCACCCATGTTTGGCAATATAAGGAAACCCATGTGTTTCCCATTGTGTTTTGTTTTGTAGTGTGCAATGTTTATGTTCATATTCCGTCATGTATGCAATGAAACTGAAACTCGATAAACTTTTATCTATTTTTATTAAGTAGAAATTCTTTACTAAAAATTTTTTTATGTTATGTATACATTTTATATTATTTATGCATTTTTGTGAAAGTTTTTAAAAACTTATAAAAGTTGTACGCAAATTCGATTTCTATTGTGGATGTCAATCTTGAAATTTCAATAATATAGTGTTTAACCATTTATAGGAAGATTACAAAGTAAGTTAACTACATAGAATTTTGTGTCATAGTTTGTGTCACAACTGAAGTTCATAAGTTGTAATGTGCTATAAATAATCAAGAGGTGCAGTAGCACCTTGCCAGCGAAGTATGATAGTATACTGCGTCAATAATTGAAGAATTTATATATAGTACTAGAATATAGAAAACTCATCAAACGCGGATACTTGCTGATGGCCGAGTAATAAATTCACAAAACATGCACGAATTGATGCTGGTAGAATTAATTTTATATGTAATAATAATCTTATAAACTTGATTATACATAATTTTTTTCAGGATAATTTACAATCAAGCAAAGCTTTATTTAAATGGATAAATTACATTTTCTCGTTTTACGGAATCAATCCAATGAATTTCAACTCAGTGCTGCACAACTCAATTATGTTATATATTACAATTCACTTTATTTTAGCAGGTTTGGGTCTAACCTATTTAAACACGGAATCAGAGGAATTTGTGTCTACCATTATGGAAGTGGGCTCAATAACCGTTGTACTTACGAAAATGATGACCTACGGTGCTAATCATAAAAAGATCGCTAAAATACTGACACAAGTCTTGAAAGATTACGACAATTTATCTCCTTACAAAAATCTTGGAGAAGTAAATGTTGCTGTGCAATATATTAAAAAAGTGAAAATATATTTGATAGTTGCGGTTCCATTATCATTTTTTAACGAAACTATGTACTTTTTCAAACCGCTCTTAGAAAATAGTTTCAAAGTACCTTCTTCAACCGGTTCGCATAATTTTTTGATCCGATTATTATTGAAGATACGCATTATTAATAATCAATTTTTTATATCTTATGATTTACAGATTCTCAAAATGTAACAACTTATTTTCTTCCATACAGCATAGCTTTTCCTATTGAAAATGATAGAGATTACTGGTTAGCTTTTATTTATGAAATTCCTTTGTGTTACTGCGCTGGATTCAGTCTCGGCATAGACACCAGCTTAATGCTTGCTCTTCTGGCTCATGTTTGCGGACAATTAGCATTACTATCTGAATGTGTTTTCCCTCAAATTGCTCAGGATACAGATACATTTTCAATCAACACATCTTTTTATATTGAGAGACACAGCAGATTAATAAGGTGATAAGTATTCAACCTACTGCACGTTGTTTTAGCACATATTTGATCAACAACATAGAATAAAAAAAATTCAATACCTATTATGTATTTTCTTGTTAAAGCACATTTTCCATTTTCATTGTATATTTATTTAAAACAGTACGATTCTGCTATTTTTACCGGCTTAAAATTTGAATATTCACTGCACTGTAAAAATACGACAGGAAAAATTATTATGTTCAATGTTCATATTAATCGAAACATATACGCACACAGGTCGATTTCTTATGTTGAAACATTTAATAAACGAATATGATAAACTTAGAATCAAAACTGCTATTTTACTAGTCATTACAGTTAAAAATATTTGATTTTTTTACTCAAAAAGAACATTTTAAACAAAAATTGATTAAAACAAAATTTTTAGAATTATTCAAAATATATGTTTGAATTTTTTAGTTAAAAAATCATAGAGATTTTTTAACAAAACAATGAGAGCAAAAAACCGCTTTTTCGAAACTTATAAATAACTAATAGTGATAAGCATACCAATCACCTTTAACTTATTTTTAAGGATGTCGAGGGATATTAACGAAACTTTTGGTTGGTTATTACTACATCAATACTTAGTAATTGTATTTCTCAACTGTATGATTGGTTACACTCTTTTAATTGTAAAATTCTTTGAAAATCATCTTTTTTTCAAAAATAATCTTATTTCAGCGTTTCAAAAATTCTTTCAGGCTATAAGTCAACATCAGATGGTACTTGTACTATCATACTCAAGTTCTATCGTATGTATTTGTATGGTCCTCTTTCTTTACTGCCACGCAGGTCAATGCCTTTATAACGAAGTAAAATTTGATGAATAATTTTATCGATATTTATGATGATTTTTGCAAACTCTTAAGTCTAATGTTTTTCAGAGCATGAAATTAAGTGATGCTTTGTTTGGTAGTTGTTGGTATAATTTGAATTCACTTCAATTGAAGTATCAGCTAATATTCCTAACTCAATCGCAAGTTTGTTTACAACTCACTGGCAAAAATTTTTGCATTTTCTCTTATGAAAGTTTTTTGAAAGTATGAATAACCTATGAAATTCAAGATATTATGCAATTTCATATTTCAAATAAGTTAATTTTAGGTTATGAAGTCATCAATGGCTTACTTGTCAGTTTTGCGGAAGGTTTTGTAAAATAGTCTATCCATTTTTCTGAAATTTGATAATTAAAATGCTAAATAATATAATAGCTATTTTGATGCAGAAGTCATGTTACTTGATTTAAAGTTATCTGCAGATAATAAACATACATTTCACGCGAATAATATTTGTCAACCACCAAGATCTCAGGACTTGAAAAATTATTATTTGAAATGCCATTTCCTCACAGCGACAAACAACAAAATAATAATCGAAGTAATTTTTTTAGCGGGGCGAAGTGTTGCAAGCCTTTGACTTCAACTCAAAAACGCACATCAATAGCATTCGATAAAAGCTGTAAACAGATAAGTATATACATCCAATGCCATGTATATACATGTATAATGACTTCCGATTTACAACAAGCCTATCATCAAATGCGTATAAGTCAGAATTGATTAGAACCATCAAAAATTGACGGACGTAAATCCACGACGCAATGTCGGTTTTCAACCAAATATTCAGTGGTGAAAAGAACAAAAAAACGCAAAGGCCGTGTAAATATGTAAGCCACTTATCGATAAAATAATATACTCTAAGTGTGAAAGCAGTCAGGAGAGCGAAAGGGAGAAAGAGAGAGGAGTTACCCGAGCGCTCCATCGGAACACGATTTTGCGAACGTTTCTTGTAAACACCCCTTTAAAGATGCAAGTATAAAACTTTGGGACTTAAATCGTGTGCAGAACCGAACGCCAAAGTAGCATCTTGCTGAACTAAATACTGAAGTAGCATGGCAACGGTTCAGAGAAAGCATGGTGATATGAACCACTGCCTTACTCAACTTTTATTGAGGCCTTTGCCGTTTTGAGTATGACTGGTCCGACGGAAGATGAAGATGCGGAATTTCAATTGTAATTCTGCCTGAGGGTAGAGCCTGAGCCTGAATCATTGTGGATCGTAGTTGGGCAGCCATTTACAATAGAAATGGATGTGAGCACTTGCTAAACTCGTCCGCAATCAGAGCAATTGCAAGTTTTGATTGTTTCTGATGTTGATTGACTTTCGTCTACTTAGTGTGACGTTTCAAGAGTTACTCTGTGACTGAGAGAGTTTTCACGGGAGGTGAAAGAAAGATTTTGTCTTCCAATTGTGACATCTGCGTATCAAAGTTGCCCGCGTTGTGAAAACAAAAAGCCCAATTCGTGCTAGTCATTTGAATTTTTAAGATCCGATGATTTTTATTAAAAAACGATTTGATCTGAATGAAAATGGACAATTCTAAATAAATTTTCGATTAAAGGTTGGAAAATGTTACGAATGTAAAAATGTTAAGAAAAATTTCCCAAACTAAATTATCTTTTGAGGATGTAATAAGCAGTAAAACTTATAAAGGAAGAGGGCATTAGACCATATAAATGTGAGATATGTCACAAAGAATTCTGTAGTGCGGAAAAAGCATAACCACTCACTCCTGTTGCATAATATACTATGAATTAGCAATAGTGTTTGAATATAGAAATTTGAACGCGATGCATGGATTACAAGGAAAAGAGAGGTTTAAAGGACGTCGCAGCCATCGGCGTCACATCCACATATTATTGGAATCTGTATGGTACACGTGGAAGTGGGTGCAAGTTACGTACATATAACATATAGAAACGAGAACTAAAGAGAAAAAGAGAGAGAAGAGCAGCGCATTCATTCTCGAGTTCTACGAATTCGCGTAATCGATTCGGTCATGTCGTTGGACCACCCATAAGGGCCTAATAAATAAGTAATACATCGATCAAATACGAAACGGCCTTTTCAGAATGAAGACACAGGGTGGTTGAGAAAAACTTATGTTAATCATATGAATTTTTTACCGGAATTATTGATATTGAAAACTTCACCTTATTTTTCTTTCAATGTATAAAAAACATTCCAGGTAAGTTAATGTATCTAATAATTTTTATGAAGAGCTTAAACTCCTGAGAAATGAATTATTTAAGCTATTTCCAATTTGAAATCAGATAACTTTAGATTGTTTCTTGCATTATTTACATAAATCAATCGCTTAAACAATAGAATAGTATCTGTTTAATCATAAAACGTACAAATGTAATAAATAAAGATGTTTCAATATATCTTTATATATTGAAAATATATCTTCAATATATCAATATATCTTTTATTGAATGAAAGTAACTTCATTAATAAAATTGATTATCACTGACTTTTTAATTATAATTTTTTATTCAAAAGTTATTGGGTTCATTTATTTGATTAGCTCTGATAGGAGTTTAAAATTGGCTAGCGTTAAAGAAAGATACCTCAAGTAAGCTTCTCTTTTTTATTCCCCGGAATAAACTTGGGAATTTCAAAGATTTTATGTACATGAGTAGACAAACGAGCTGATGAAGCAAAATTTTAGTCGAACTGATTTTATAACATGTGGGAATCTATGAAGATTAAATTGTATTTTAAATTCAGGCCGACAAAAATTTGACCTCGTCAGTTATTCTAATTACTAGATATGTTGATTGATATTTTTAATAAACAATAAAATGGTAACACTCGCTTGTAGGATGAGTTTGATGTCAAGCATAGGCCCGCACCGAGTGAATACAACAAATCGACTAGATGTTACATCGTTCAGCGCTTATATGGCTCTCTTTCTCTGTCAGTTGCTCAGTACGTGCTATACGCGGAACATATACATAATATGCTGAGTAGTGCGCAGAGCTACTATACTAAACGTGAGCTTGCGAGGCTTTGCCTTGGTTCCTTACACTGACACTTGATCGCATTATGTATAGCTCTGCGTATACCCCGATGAATCTAACCCTTTTTTTTATCTTTACGCTGTGTACTATGGCCTATTTTACGTACCCATGTTCTTATAACTCGAGACTTCCAACCAATCGATCGAAATCTCGTTTTAAACTTGTGCTGTAGGATTAGCGTTACGAGCCTTTCTATATTCTATACGCAGGAATTCCATTTTAGGTGGAAGTGTTTTTAAATTCTAACTTTAGATGTAACTAACATAGCCCCATTAGCTTTTTCTGTTTATGTAACAATTTTTATAACTAATTTTAGCTTGATTTTTGCAGCTATTTATAGTACATTGATAGACAATTTAATGTAATTTCAAATGCAAAAATTGAAGTTTGAAGACAATCACGATATTACGAAGTACTTGTGGGTAAAAAAAGGTAAAAATAAAGAAAGACATAATGGCGTTTCTCGAAAAAATGATGTGCTCGTAAGTCAAGCGCAGCAAGGCCTCAATAGCGAATGCACAAATTTACATATTCCATACGCAAAAAAGAAGAAAAAGAATCGGTCCATATAGATGCTGCAGAAGTTGCAGAGAAAAATATAGGCTTTTTTCTGCTGCTGCTGCGAAGCTCGGCTGTTTTAAAACGTTTTCTTAATTAAACGTTCTCTTTGCGGCGCGCGGTGAGCGCGTCCTGGTGCCGGGGAATCAATCCGGGACCATAACAAGCAGCAGCGGCAGCGGCCGCATGAGCTATATCCATCCGAAACCGAAATTCCAAAGTGCCTCACACCACCCCCAATACAGCACGTATAAATGAGTGTGTGTGCGTGCGATGTATAGACAAGCTGTATATATATCGGTATATATCGGTGGGGCATACCGAGGGAAGCATAGTTTAGTCGAAGCATGCGAACTCGTTCTCGAATGGGAAATCTGCGCCCTTTATGCATCGGTATTTCGTACGAGTAGAGAGAGAGAGAGAGAGCGGAGGGACGTGCACGGGCTTCTGCGCGCGCGATATGAAGGTTCGTAAATGACGGTCAGCGGGCGAGCGTCGCCTCGGGGCAGCAGCAGCAGCGAGCCCGGTACGGGCCCTTTACGAGCCTCGAATTAGCTACTATATATACTGTGTGCCAAGGCCCTCCTTTCTCTCACTCTCTTTCTTACTCACGCGCGCTCTGATTATTCGATGCTGCTGCTGCTGCTGCCGGTGCTGCCGTTGCCTTTTTTGCTTTCGCTTAAGAGAGACCGCGCTCGTATTCTTATACATACACGCATGTACGCACACACGTACAGATCGCAAGCGCCTCCCATATAAGAAATATCGACGAGGTATCCCACGCAGAGAGTGCCCTAATATGCACGAGCGGGCGCGCGCGCGTTAAAAAGAAAGGAATATCACGCCAAGGCATGTAAACCTCATCCTGAGCGCGCAGCACGGACACACACACACATACCAACTCGCTCCACACATGTGTACTGTACACATATACACGCATGAGACGCGGGGCCGTTACTCCCTTTTGTTAAAAGAGCCTTCAATCTTGAAATGCGAGACCTGCTCTCTGTTGCTGCACTCTTTTCCTTCTTCTCCTCCTCCTCCTCCTCGCGCTCTTTCTTTCTCTGATCTATGTATAACGTACAACACACGGCGTATACATACGCGTATATATATATACATGTGTACTGCACGCGCCCGCGAGTAAACTTGTCGTTTTTACGCGCGCGCGCGCGACTCCGAACGGGGGCAAAAACAACGAATCGACTCATGACTTCTCTCTCTCGCTCGCTCGCTGCACGCATAAAGGCATGCGACTGTACACGCACACGCATACATAAGAGTGTAAATGCGCGCACACACACACGCATACATACAGAAACGGAGTACTCGCATGTGTGCCGCATGTATATGAGAATAAACGCGCGTGTATATACCCAAGCCGTGTTGACGTGTTTTTGCGCGAGGCTAACCGTGCACTGCTGCTCCCCAGGCGCGTTTATTTGCCTGCGCGCACGAGCAACTCTGCACCGAGAGCAGCAACAACAGTAAAAACCCCTGATAAATTCGAAAAAGCAAAGCCTCCAACGCCACTGACGCATTTTTCTTCTCTTATCTGCCACTTGTACATACATATAAAACAAAGACCCGGCAATGTTATCGAGTCGAATTCGATTCGAGCCCTACACAATGGAGCAGTAGTAGCAATTTGCACTCTTTTTTAATGCAAGCATTATGATGCTAGCAGAAACCAGTCAATCACCGATCGCTGCGCTAATTTGGCCGTCTCGATCTCGCTGCGAGATCGAGTCTACCTGCGCCGCGCAATTGTAATTATGTCATTCGCGTTTTATACGAAAAGAAAAGCTGCGGATATGATTTTACTGATTGCTACTCTCGGGACGCCGCACAATGAGCCGAGGCTATAAAATTTGATTACCTCACGCCATTTATCTCGAGGATGAAACTATTACTTGCCCCGCGCAAGTACCGCGTCTCGAAACTTCCATTCGAATGTTTGGCATCGTAAAACATATTTCGCGAGTGTACTCTCGTTAGTATTATCAACGAATGATACTCATTTCTTCGGCTGTATAATGAAATTTCATTCGAAGCAATTGAATTTCTTCGACGATTCAAATAAGCTCCGCGAGCGTAAAGGATGGTGCACACGCGATCCGATACTTTGGCTTAATTTTTCAATTGTGCAAACTTGTATTGTATTGAATCGTTCGTTTCAAATTTTCAAAAATCACAGAAATAATCGTTGATACTGTTGGGATTCTAGCGTAAAGATGTATGCAAGTAAGGTCCTAGACTACCTAATAAAAATGTCTCTTCGAGTGTTAATAAATTCAGTTTCATCGTATAATCTGTTTTTGGAAGATCAGTCGAATACCCGATATAATAAAGAGTACCTTAGCAATGATCTATGAAGAAGGCCCTCGTCTACGTTCAAACAGTCCATAACAAATAACGAATGGCCATTTTTTTCATTGAAATATCTATGATGGGCGAGTAAGACGATTGCTCGAGAAAAATGATCGCGCGAGCGGCTAATTCAAAGAAGAAAAGGATGCAGTTCGAGTGTCTGACCGCAACACAGCCTCGCTACTTAATCAGGCCGCGTTGTTAGTGCAGTTGGACGATTGGTCGAGCATTTGCACATATCGTCGGAAGCAGCACTCTAAAGTTACACACGCTCACGATATATACGCGCGTACGTATGCACGAGGAAGCGATCGAGCAAATCGAAAGCCGCGTGAATATGCTGTATAGCTAGCTCGTAGCGTTTATTGTCGCCCGAAGGCTCGCATGCGGCTCATGGGTGTAAAACCGCAACTATCGCCGTACGGCCACCACCGGAGACCGCGTATATTCTTCTGATGTATACATAGTTCGTTCTTATGTCACTACGACTTATCATCGACGCGAATAAGGTTCCTCATTGTGCCTCGCCGAAAAAAGTCTCAACTGTATAAGGTGTTTATTCGCGAGATGGATTTTATGTGCTTCGGAAAGAGGAGGACGGAGGAGGGAAGAGCGCGCACGAGAGCGAGAGAAAGCGAAAAAAAGCGAGAGAGAGACGCCCTAACCGGAAATAGCACCAGTCTGCGTCTAGTTTATATGCTTTCTTCTGCATCAATGTTCGTTCGGAGGCACGCGTAAAAGAGCACCTAAAACAGAGCGAGAGTAACATTGGAGGGGACTATAGCGCTCTACTAAATAAGCTCCAAATTTCCGACCGCTTCTGAACGATGGATTGGGAGAGAGAGAGAGAGAGACAGATAAAAAGGTATACAAACCTAAACGAATGCTACGAGTAAATCGCTGCTCTTTAAATCGAAGTTTTATCTTTACTTCTTTTTTTTTTGATTTTGTGCTTTAGCAACGCATCAAGGGAAGTGGCAAAATAAAACGAATTAGCAGCTAATGAGATTTACGACGTGGAAAGAGAGAGAGAGTGTACCTCTAACTTCTCTTTCGGTGCGATGCGACGGGGTTTGCAAGGGTACGTGCAATATTCTTGCTTCTAAAAAATCTATCAACTCGAGGGACAAATTAAATTTTTTCCAGCAAAAATAAAACATCATAGAGCTTAAAAATTACTCATCCTAGCAAGGAACAATATATAAATAATCTACGGTCGATTTCGCCGACCAAAAGGAAAAAAGTCGAATCGTGAAACATTTCGCTGCGCTTTATTCAGCGTGCGCGTCTGATGCTCCAAATGAGTGAGTAATACTGAATTTTTTTTCCCTCCTCTTTCGCATGCATACATGTATAGCACACATGCATACATGCTGCAAAGCGATCTCTCGAAGTATGTTTGTTCATCGGGATTGTTCGCGGAATGGAATTTTAGCATAGCGAAATCGTAAAGCATAAGATATCTAACGCTTCGGCAAAGGGCCGAGAAAAAAAACGTCTCGAGTCTGCTTCTCGCACTGCTTCTCTTTTTCGTATCCATTATTATACACACACCGACGCGGCGGCACACGCGTCGCGTGAGTTCACGCTATCATTTCTTTCTTTTTCTCTTTCTTTCTGTTCTCTCTTGCTCGTTCCCTTCCTCCATCGCTCTCTCTCTCTTGTAAAAATGCGTGAAATTCGGATAATTTGAAATACATACACACATACAAAACCTACTACAATTACATACTACTACCTATCGAGACTATAAATCCATCCACTTTTACTTATGTAGTACAATATGAAAACAGAGTATGTAATGGAGCCCCCAAGTGAAAAACTACAGTCGGATTCGTCAGAAGTTGCTGGCGTTCGTGATGCATATATATATTTGCACGAATCTTTTAGATACGTTTTGCACGCTATATTGACTTTGAGCGAAATTTGAGCTTCGAATTTATGAAGCCTTGCGCCATGATTTGAAATATGGTTTCTCATTTTTTCGAAAAAATAATGTACTTTTTGCACGTGATGCGAACTTGACAATTTCGCCCAAATTTTTCAGAATTTCTTACCTAGTTGAAAAGAAGAAGGGTAAGTGGTTGATTCAAAGCAAAAAATATCGTTTTATCAGTAATTAATTCGAACCTTTGAATTATTTCGACAAGTCTAATTTCTGAGCTACGAAGCCTGCCACACGAATTGAATAAATATTGATATATTCCTTTGGAAGGCAGTAAAGAAAAAACAGTTGGACGAATGTAAAATAAAGGTAAAAGAGTCGAGAGGTCGAAAGAGAGTAAAAAGAATTCGGAAGCAAAGCGCCTCGCTCGCTGCAAGGGTAGAGAGAGTACGATAATAGGTAAGCGCGCGGGCGGCTAGCGAGGCGCCTGTGATCCGATAAAATGCCTAATAAATAAAGGTAGCAATGGGGCGCGCTCGCGCGTAATCCTTCTGTGATGTCCGAATCCGTTGAAAGTAAAACAAATGCACGCGCGGACGCGAAAAAGAGAGACAGAGAGAAAGCGAAATAGCGAGAGCGGAGGGAAGGATTAGAGTTATAGGCGGCTTGGCGCGGCAGAAACAGGTATATTGGCGATCGGCATTCGACAAGCGCGTTTGGCAAATAACGCGTGGGCGCGCGTGCGCGTGCCTCCTACGAAACTGCACGAGGCAGAGAATCGCTGCTGCCGCCGAGTGTGTATACAAGAGCTTGCGCCTAAGAGAGAGCGAGAGAGAGAGAGCAACAAGGAGCGAATGTGACTCGTTGGCTGAAGAGGAGCGCTCAGGGTTGGCGCTCGAGCTGCGGGAATCGGCAGCCACGCATCGACTCGACGCCGCGCACACGTATCACGAGACGTGTACTGCTGCAACTATACTACCGAAGTGTAGGCGAATATTCCGAGACTAGCCGAGTGGAAGGGAGAGAGTGAGAAGCGAGCAAAAGAGAGAGAGACTCCGGGGTAGCTTCGATCCGACCGATTCGTCAGTCCAGAGTGGTTGCTCGTTGAGCGACGGTCGATCGCGAGAACTAGTAATCTCTTAGACACACGCAGGCTCGGGAGCATGTCGTCGTCGTCGTCGCCGCCGCCGCGGCTCCAGTCGCCCGTTTGGCGGCAGCTCGCCTCGCTACAACTGCCACTGCTGCTGCTGCTCTCGTCGATGCTACTGCCCGGTCGCTTGGTCGGGGCCAGTCTTCTGCTCGGTAACGAGAGCAATCCTCTGCAGCGGCGCATGGCCAGCAGTCATCAGCACTCGGCTCACACGAGAAAGTTCGGCACCGAGCGCCTGTCCCACGCCGAGGAGTTCAACCGGACCAAGGTCCTGCAGCCCGAGTACCAGATCCGGGCGACTCTCAGCCCCAACGACGTATCTCAGTGAGCCTTTTTTTCTATCGTACAAACTTGCACATTTCATTTGCCTGGCATCGACGGCTTCGTCCTGCACCCTGTATATAGCTCAAACTTGCTTCAACCCCCAGCTCGATCGCGCTAAATTGAATTCACTTATCACTCGTTAATAATCGACAATACTATTACAACACTATTATGTCGAGTCCAATTGATATAAATGAACGAATGAATGAATGAAAAAAGAATTGTTTATGTCGTCCACTTGAAATAAACTTTTTTATCACAATAGAAAAAACGATCATTGATACTTTTTAAGTATTCGAATATTGAATAATTGTATTGAGCATTTTTCATGTAGCTTTCCGAAACTTGTGTGGTATTGTGTAGCTCAAATTATAGTCTAATAACCGCAGAGTCTTGATTATAGTCTGGAAATAAATACCCAATAGATGATTGAACCAATTGCTAAACAAGAAATAAATTCAAACGTCAGAATCTAAAACTTGTATTTATTTCAAGTTTATACACTCTAGCCAGAAAAAAAAATAATTTAAGCTTGTTTTTTGTAGAATTCCATTATTTTAATCAATATTTTTCTAATAAAATGTAAAAATGGTGTAAATATTATCAACCAATCAGCATTTTTTATTTTAAATTCTTCATTTTCAAAACGATTAAAGAAAGACATAAACATAACTGACGAAGTAAGGGCATGATCACAAATAAAGGAGTAAAAGTTATTATACGAAACAATTTTGAAATTCATAATGTATTTAAAGTAATAGAAGTAAACAATTTTAATTTCAATCTTTGTTTAGTCAATACTAGCAGCCAATACTTTAATATTATTTTGTCATCATTGACAGTAAATTAACCCATCATTCATATCTTCAAAATGTGCACATCGAATTGTTGAATTTCATCTATAAATGGACAATTATATAATATACGCAATAATAGGCTCTTTTATCTGAGTCTAAACAATACTTCGATCCTTTATTTAACAAGACTATGTTTAAAGATTATACAATAACTTATCATCTATTCAGTACATTAAATAAACATTGTAAAGAAAAAAATTACTTTCAAGTTAAGTTATACTAAAAAGTTTAACCTCTTTACTTTTCCGTGAAGTAAAAAGAATATACTCAATAAAGTAAAATATTAGCTTTCGTATGAACAATAAAGAGTTAAAAATTTTAAATGAAGTTTGATAAATTATATCAAGTGTATCAAAAATTGTTGTAGGTGTTCTCTGGACTAATATGTTTAGAGTTCATGAAAAATTTTTGTTGAAAAAAAGATTAATTATAGTTAACCATGCATTAAACTCTCTAAAAAGTTGTTCATCAACTTAAGATGAGTAACGAAAAAGCTAGAGTTATTAATACAGTGAAAGAATAATAAATTTTCTCGATTTCAATTAAAAATTAGCGTGTCGTTGTCATTTAATCATAAAATGTGTTTATATTATATCGGCTCTAGACAATTTTTACTTCATTTCTAAGAAAAATTAGAAAAAATTTATCATCTTACCGACTGATTAAAATATCATTCGCGAAAGTTAATTCAGCAATGGTGCGAAATAATTGTTGCCCCGCTCGTGCGGGGACCGTGCGACGTCCGATAAACGAACGAGCGATTTTGCTTTTACACGCCACGTGACACGACAGTCTGCCTTTCTTCTGCATTCGTGCTCTTTGAAGTGCGTGTGCTGTGCTATGGGCTGTTCAGATCGCGCACAGTTACAGTCTTTTTAAATCCACCAAGATCGTCAATGCATTGCTTGCACCCGTCTTACTCTCCGATGCATCTTTTTATAATTGCCCAAAGCCTCAGGGGCAGGTCTGTACGAGCAGCCCTTTTAAAAATCGTTTGCACAATGATGCTCTGTTGATGGAAGATTGCGAGTCTGTTGTATATATATACACACACGTTTGATGGCATAGGCGCCGATTGTTTTGCTCTTTACTGTTTCAGATGCTGTGAATGGACGCTTTTTTGTTAATTTAATTTAATACTAATCTATAAATTCACGATGTACCATTTTTTCTTTTCCGTGAAGATTTTAAAATATTAAGGACAATTATCTTGGAATAATTTATAACAAGTAGTTAGGTATTTTCACTAAAAAATTTATTGATTTTTATAAAACATTATACGTTTTTTTCGTGTAAAAAGAGAACATAACATGAAAGAAATACATAATGTAACAAATAATAAACTTTTTTTAAATTAGTCTTTTGTACAAATACTCTAGATCGAACATCAGAGTTTTCAATGCAACGATTAAACATACATTTTATAAATTTATCAGATCATAATGCGCGACGGGTGTGCCATATTCATGTGAGCTTTGAGATTGGTTTTTTTGCCAAATATCTTTCTGCATGTCTTGCAAGCATAGGTATGATCATGTGTCGATTCGACATGCCTCGTAAGACTGGATCGTTTTCTATACTTTTTTTCACATAAGTCACATGAGTGAGTGATACCATAATGGACTGCCTCCAAGTGAGTTTGGAGATTACCTTTTCGTGTGAATGTCTTTTCACACACATCACATGTAGGTCTCATACCATTGTGTACGGCATTAATGTGGATTTTCAGATACCTTTTTTGTCTAAAAGACTTTCTGCAAATATCACATGCATGTGTGATACAATTATGCACTGATTCTATGTGAGATTTGAGGCTACTTTTATGTGTGAATGTCTTCTTACATATATCACATTTATGAGTAACTTTATTATGTACCGAATCGATGTGGACTCGCAGACTATTTTTCCGTGCAAAAGACTTTCCGCAAATGTCACATGCATGTGTGATACTATTATGTACCGAATCGATGTGGACTTGAAGATTATCTTTTCGTGTAAAAGTCTTTCCGCATATGTCGCATGTATATTTGATGCCTTTATGCACCGAATCGATGTGAGTTTTTAGATGAGATTTCTTTTTGAATGTTTTTCCACGTGTACCACCACAATTGTAGGTCAATTTTTCTGTCTTTCTTTGTTTTTTATTTTGCTTTTTAAGTTGGCAGTCCGAATTCATATTCAATTTGTTTGCGTCGTCGTCGCCAAATTCCTTTTTTACCTTGTCTAAAAGTTCTATTTTAATCATGTTCTGATTTGTGTAATCGTCGCCATATTTCATACGTTGCCAGTGATTTTCGGAATAAACTTCAGTTTTTTCAACTGCCAATAAATTCATGTTTTGCTTTGCGTCTACACACTCAAAATCTATTTCTAATTCATCATTAAGATTACTGTCATGATTTTTATTACATTCTTGAAGCTTGTGCAAATATAAAATATTAAGTAATGCAAAAGTTTACATCAAACATTTCTATCATAAAAATAGAATGTAATTTCTAAATCTTACCGAATATTCTGGCACAATGTGGGAGACTTGAAAATTTTTAGTATCCGCCGTTTTGTCAACTATTTTATTATCATTTCCAATAAATGACTCGTCATTGGGTTCTTTCTTCACCCTAAAAAATGGTTCCAAATAAGTATTACTACTATTTTATAAATTTTCATACTTTTATTCTCATAAAATAAAATTTACCTAACAGAAGTATTAAATCGTAAGATATCGTAAGATTCCATCTCTGTTATAATAGTACACGTTAAACTAGAGAACTAAAATTTAATAATACTGTATTTACAAATTTTGACATGAAAACTCAACCTATGTAATCATTCATCAGTCAACAACAAAAACTATTGTAGACAGAGCAATAGGAAGTACTTATTTATTTTCATGTTTGTACACATTTCTATGAATGATATATAGTCACAAAAAATTAAATCATGAAGAGTAGATGAAGAGCATCGAGAAAGGGCTAGATTAGCTTAAAACGACGACCGAATGGGAATGTACATTTGAGTCATTAGTCGGAAAACGGAATCCAAAGAGAAAGCCCGAAAGCCAGACTCTCGGCTCGTTTCTCAGTTGGACTGTCGTTAATCGACGACAGACATCACAAAAGCTTCTTTTCTCTCGCATTTATTTTTCCTTATGCATAAATAAAAAAAGGATGCAGCAACTCGTTGAGTCGGTTTCATCACCCTTAAAAGAATTAAGCTCAATTCGTTCGTCATTGTCAGCACTTCAGGCGTTACCTGTCCATCATCGCGACGCTCTTCCTTTTCCAAGAGTGTGTGTGCGCGCACGCGTGGGGCATTTTTAGCGGCCGTTTACATTGGCAGTTATATGCGTGCGTGTGCGTTAGGGCAAAAGGAAAGGAGGAAAGCGCAGTGCAGGCGCGTGTCTCGCAGCGCGTCTATATGTGTGCCGGCTACTATAGCGCAGTAGTTGTTTGCGTGCAGGAAACGATGCGCTGCGTCGCGACGCTATGCGCAATAAAGTAGCCCCTTTTTCCTCGTAGATACAGATACTCTCTTTGGCCGAGCCGAACGCGCTTATAGACTCGCCAACTGCACTCAACCGTAATAACCTCGTATAGTAGTAGTAGTAGTAGTAGTAGTAGTAGTAGTAGTAGTAGTAGTAACCATGACGCACTAAAAACGAACGATTTTCGCAGTACAAAGATATTCGGCGGGTCATTTTCGGAAATTTTAGCATCGACTTTGAAACTCTTTGAAATTTCACTGCCTCTGTCACGTCCGAGCGTTCACCTGTTACTTACACTTTATTCTCTCAATTCGCACGATTATTCAACTTTGTTCCACGGTCAAAGTCAATGGAATCGCTACCACGAAATATTGATTCGGAAACTCTTTTCCACCGGGACTCTATGAAAAGCCTGCTCGGTCTAAGTTGAATTTTCTGAGATTTCATCATAATCGTTAATGACACCGGCATTTGCATCCTCTTCGGTGAGGTATAATAACGCCGCACACGAGCTTACAGCGATGTCACGACCTTGCGAGCTCGCGTTTATCAACCCAAAGAAGCGGATTATATATCGTTGCATTATATATAGAGCGCAGGCGAGGAAAGGAAAGGCGCAGAATCGCGAATTTCCGCAACGAGCGGCGGCGCGTATGTAAGCTTGCGCGCACCAGAATTAGCAGCATCGACGCGGCCTACACGGGGTTTTGCGCTGCAACGAGACTCGCACACATTGTGTCGGGCTTCTGCTAATTTTACAATGACAAGCCGATATAAAGACGACGACGTCGACGGCTTGTGCAAGCCGCTACACTGTTCCTTCTCTTCTTCCTCCTTTACTTCTTCCTCTCTCTTTCTCTCTCTCTTTCGCTTCACGAATTTCTCTTAGTCTGACTGTCTGGATGTCTGTCTGACTGACTGACTGACTGATTAACTGACTGACTCGCAGCTGTGGGGTAAGCGGAAAAATAGAGTAAACATTATATAGCTGATATTTACAGTATCGGTGTAAACGACTTGCGCTTCCGATTGGCAGCCACAGAGGACAAAAGCTCGGGTGCAGTTGCAAGTGCAGCTTTTTCAGCCTTCGAACGAGGGCCGTAAATTCTCAATCATCGCGCAAAAGAATGACGCTCGCGTACAAACGTTCTCTTGGCCCGTGTGTTGTTGTATTTATAGCGGCACACGGAGAGAGGAGCGCGGAGAACTCGACGAGCTAACTCGATTTGCATCTGTTTTGATTTTTTTCCCCCCGGCTCGTTGCCGTCGCACCACGCGCTCATCTCGACCTCGGTATAGTGCATGTATGGTGTGTGCACGCGCGCGCTTATTTCCCATGCGCACATGTGCACGCGCGTGCGCTTCGATTTACGGCTATTATATATATATGGTAAGCCTGTGCAGCTTCGGCTCAGAGACCTGCTACTCTTTTGGGATCGTCGAATGACCTCAATCCAACTTGTTTTTTTTTTTTTTTTTGTTTTCATTTACATCCCAACACATTGCATTAATGATAAACGCGTAATCTTGGAAATCCCAATTTCAGTATTGTCAATGAATTACCTTTTTTCCTGATCGAATTTGGCAGTTGTCAACGTTCATCACATTTCTTTCCTCTTTATTTGAATTACTCTGGTAGCAATAATAAAGTATCGATTTACGAGCAGAAATATTTTCCAAAGTGTAGGTGAACCAGTGAATTACGTGATAAAAGTACGAAAAAATTCGTGAGAAAAGAAATAACGATTCGCAGCTTGCGCGGCGGTATCGAGCAAGCAAGCGAGCAAAAAAAACGTGACGTCGAAATGCTCATGTAAATTATCTAATTAAATTTACATTGCTTCTGCAATTGATGTCCTCGACAAGTGCGTATATGAGCAAAAGTTAATTCATAATAATGATGCGTATACGGACGTGAATGGGCCCTGCGCACTGACATTTGCGGGCACCGGCGCGTACCCATATAGGTAAATTAATGCAAATCGTGCATATCACGTCACTCGTCAAATTGTCTTTTGATTTCTCAATGATAATATATATAAAGGCGTTTTTGTGCTCTGCGAAAAATGCCAAAAAACACATAATGGCACATAATTTATGCAAATAACGATTTAATAAGGTGAAATTATAAGCTGTTACACCGCGCGCGCGATGACCCTCTGAGATATATAGGATTAATCGGTGAAGTAACCTGCAGGTAAACGCGTCCTCGCGCGCAACAGGTTATATGTATATATTCGTGTGAGATCGAACGGCTCCAAATTGCAGCACAGCTCTGTGGTCCGTAAGCACACCGTTAAAAATATTTACATTAAAATTAATGTAAAAGAGGATAAATGAAATATTTGTAACTTCAATTTTAAAGTAGACAGATAATTTAAAAAAATCATTTTTACGTGTTCTACTTATACAACTATATTAACATCGCTGATTGCAGGGTTTCAAATCAAAGTACACGCCATCTATCGGTGCAAACTAACTCTAATTATGATCGAATTTTCATAACTCATTTTAGTATCGTAATTCATTTTAGTAGAGAATCAAATCTTATATTCGTTAATTTTTATATTAAAAATATTGGACTCAATGTAACGCAATTTAATATCTGTTTCTTTGGTAAAAACGTATAATGCCACATGAAATCAGCATTCAATTTAAGATTTTTTTGTAACAAAGCTGTCAAAAATCAAGTGTAAATAAACATTTTGTTTGTTTCGACTAGGAAAGATGAGTTTTGCTCTAGTGCGCATAGTGATATAACAGCTCTGGCGTGCGTTTCAAAGTTCGTTATTGAAAACTACGCAGCGGAAAAAGAATTTCGAATCACGATGTACTTCGGTGTCGTGACACACCACACCATACGGCATAGTGCAGTTTTGAGTTACAAAAAAGTTGAGTTGGAAATTTCGATTCGCGTTTAGACTAACTCTAACGGCGCCGTGACAAAAACGTGCAGTTGCGTGCCTATTTGGCTCTAATTACTGAGGAAAAAACAGGAGAATTTTGCAGGCACAAGTTGGTTTTTTACAGCTCATAAACGACTCTTTTTGTGCACAGCAAGCAGCAGCAGCAGCTCATCGATGGCAGGGTCGCGAAAACAGGAAAATACGCGCGTAAAGTAGCCTGGACTCGCTGCGAAGAAGATCAGCTCCCGAGAGCTCTTCTTTCCACGATCGAGGCGAATCGCGTCGCGCGAGACTTTTTTACTTGGCTCGACGATCGAGGCAATGCCGCGCTCGGCGCAAGTATGCTGCTCTTTACTGCTGAAAGGGCTCGTTACGAGCTCGAGCTCGGCTATCCGCGCTGCATCACAAATCGGCGCGATTCGAACTGGAGAGCTTTTGTCATACGGAGCGCGATGTAATCAACGTCCGAATCGCAGGCCAAATTTTCCAACGTGGCTTTTTCAAATTTCCACGCACGAGCGGGGCTCGTCGCAGCCGCTATCGGCCTCGATAAACGGTGACTGCCGTGTGTATACGAGTGCGTGTCTTGCGTCGGTCATACACAAGCACACACGCACACACTCGGATACACATGCGCTGCAGTACGGGGCACATATAATGAGGCGTGAGTGCAGTCGCAGATGACAAATGACTCTACGTGCTCGCGCTCTTTTAATGGGCCCGCGAACGGTAAAAGTTTCTTGCTCGTGCGCGCGTCCACCTCGCGAAGGAATCGAATCTGCGCCGATCGGGCTCCGAACTCACACGCGACTACCTGTGCGCGCACAGTTTGCGGCTACGCGTACTCAGCGACGCTCACGGATTATACATACATATGGTATTATATATATATAGCTGCAGCTGCGGCCTCGCGCTTCTTTGAAATCATGCAAGAAAGAGAAAAAACTTATGTGCCATACGATAATATTATACAGCCGACTATAAATAACATGTAAGTTGAATTTATTTTCTCTCAAAGCATGTCGCGGCCTAAAAAATTGCTCAATATGTAAACTATATACGCGCGCGGACTCCAGTAGTATTACGCGCGTACGCATATATACACTGCTGCGCGTATACGCCTGCATATGATGATGTATATATATGCACGTATTAATTACATCCTTGTAAAACTCGCTTCGGACCGTTACATACGTATATAATACACATTTATACCGCCGTGGTGTACGCGTATGCGAGCGCACTTTTACACCGTGTTTTTTTTCCGAGTTTAAGCTATTTGTCGATGTGCTTACCAAAAAGGAGAATATAGGTAGAAGATCGCGCATGCGTCGTAAACGATTTAGTAGCAAAAACAATGAGCGTTTGGCAAAGCTGGAGAGGAAAAAAATTATGACTCATTGTACTCGAATAGGCATAAAGACGTAAAACCTCATTAAATTGAGGCAAGTACGAGCTTTTTATTCATGCCTCGAGTAAACGAGTCCAAAAACGTGAGAAGAAAAGGCTTTGCCTCGCGAGATCCGAATACGACGTCAGTCTTGGTCGATATCTACATGCGCACTCGAGCTGCGATATCTAGCTAACCGAGGGGATGAGTGTCAAGTGCGATGTACATGCTGTATAATAGAAATTCCGCGCGAGCTCATATGAATGCGCGAGGCGCGCGCGATACATCTACGCGACGGAATTTGAACTTGCTCCCCGGATGCGCAGAAAAACGCTTGCGTTATACTGGAAAATCAGGATTCCCTCGCCCGGTTGATTCGAATAATAAAATAGCATCGGCAGCGGCATTTTATATACATACATATACATCCTTGAAAAAGAGCTATCATAATACTGCACTCGGGGCTATATCATACACCATGTAACGTAATAGTTGAAAGAAAATTTGAAAAATTTGAATCTATTCATCCCTGAGCTCGGTTGAATAGTAATATCATACTGGATGCAGCTGAATTCGTTGTAGGTTCTATTACCTAGGGCCGCACGAGTCAGGATCGCCGCCGACGCTACTGGTCAGCCCGTGCAGCGGACCGATCTCTTGGAGCGTCAGCTATGTCGGACCTCCCGACGCCGATCAGCACGCGGAAGGCTGTGAGTATGCATTGTAATTTTTATTTACATATACAAATTGAGACAAGTCCATCGATCCACGTGTATTTGCCTTGACTCGTCGCGAAGCCTCCGCTAATAGAGACTTTGACTTCCACAAGCTTCCTGTTCCTGCGCTGCGCATCTCGCTCGGCCTTCGGTACGATAGTCGTCTCTGTGAGTGCGACAGCTCCTGCTCGCCTCGGTCGTTGGTGCTTGCACGCGCCTTCGCACTCGCGCACTCGTCTCTATCCGCCTCTCTATACGTTCCTCTTTCCTTTCGCATTCGTAGCTCGTTGTCAAAGTAGCGGTCACACATCGGCAGCTGCAAACTATTTGGCGCGCGACTCTCGTCTAGACTGCACAGTAGTGCACTGAGAAAAAAGTATATCTTTTGCTCAGAAAAACTATTTCTGCTGTGACAGCAGAAACGAGTTCACTTGCGACAAGTGCAATTTCTCCTTGTAATAGGGAGAATCGTCACTGGCCAATGAGCAGTTTTGAACGCGTCACTTCCCCATTAATATGATGCACCTAAACGCGATCACCAACTCACACATATACACACATTCACAAACGAGTGCGAGAAGCGGGCCGTAGCACTGCTGTTAGTGCGAGTCGGCATGGCATGTTTTCAAACCGAGATCTAAACTCGGCAACATCGAACTCAAACTCGGATGATTGTATTAACGAAAACACACTGTAGTCTGCAACACGCCGCACACACTAACATAAACACACTGAGGTGTGCAGCTCGCCACCCAAGGGACGCTTACTTGTTTACAGCAACGTTAAAAATTCGAACGACCGTTACAACGTTGCGAACGTTGGCGAGCATAGGGTTCGATTGTCACACACTGTAACGCACTGTACAGTCACACAGTGCAAGCGAGCAGTTACGATGGACATCTCACTGCACGATGTTAGATTCCAATGCTGCGGCAATTTGGCTATCCAGCGGACGCGGGTATTGATTCGTGTGTGTAGGGTTGTTAGTCGTAGTGGGTATGTCTGCTCGCTTGCAGTGTGTGACCAGTGACTGTGCAGTGCGTTACAGTGTGTGACAATCGAGCTCAACGTTGTAACGGTCATTCGAATCTTCGATGTTATTGTGAAAAAGTTACCGTTTCATGGCCGTTGGGCGGCGAGCTGCAGACCTTAGTGTGTTTATGTTAGTGTGTGCGGCGTGTTGCAGACTACAGTGTGTTTTCGTTAATACAATCATCCGAGTTTGAGTTCGATGTTGCCGAGTTTAGATCTCGGTTTGAAAACATGCCATGCCGACTCGCACTAACAGCAGTGCTACGGCCCGCTTCTCGCACTCGTTTGTGAATGTGTGTATATGTGTGAGTTGGTGATCGCGTTTAGGTGCATCATATTAATGGGGAAGTGACGCGTTCAAAACTGCTCATTGGCCAGTGACGATTCTCCCTATTACAAGGAGAAATTGCACTTGTCGCAAGTGAACTCGTTTCTGCTGTCACAGCAGAAATAGTTTTTCTGAGCAAAAGATATACTTTTTTCTCAGTGTGCTGGTGCGCCCTTTGCCCGATCGCAAAGCCCACGATGCGCGCTGCACGAGTTGCGAGCGAGGCGAGAGAGCAGCGTGACGGAATTAGCACGCGGCTAAAGTTCGCTACAACTACTACTACTACTACTACTACTACTACTACTACTACTACTACTACTACTACTACTACTACTACTACTACTACTACTACTACTACTCGTCGTCGTGTCTCTCTCTCTCGCATGCTCATCTCGCGGTGCCGCTCGGCGAGCATCCGGAGAGGAGTGCGCTATGCGAAGAGCCCTGCGGAGCAATTCCTCGTGTGTGCCGCTTCGGGTTTGAGAGGCCCACCTTCGCGCTGCTTCTCCTATGGTCCGCGCTCGTTTTGTACTTCTCGGCCGGCGCCTTTTTCGATGCTTTTATTCGACCGTGCCTGCATAGCTTCACTTTCTCTCGGCAGCTCTCGCTGCAGTACAACGCTCTTCGCTAAAACTGCTCTCTTTTTATGCGCGCCGCTTCTCGTCGACACTTTTCTAAAGCTCGATATTTCTTTGCCGTCGCGTGCCCGAGCTGCAGCCTAGCACTGCGCACGAGTCGCTTTTTATTTCTCTGCACTGCTGCTGCTGCTGCTGCTGCTGCCTTTAACGCGCTCGGCACTTGCATGCCTACCGTACTCTATACACTCCTCCGAAATACGTTCGACCCGAAAATAAACATTTTGCCCGCAGACCGTCTCGTAATGAAAAGAGAATGATATTCGACGTCGAGCGCATTATGTACCCGCGCGCGCCCTAACGGCACCTGATTATTTTTAAGTCGCTAACTAGACATCGCGATGGCAGCACATCCAATCAACTTAGCCAATCGTTTCACCGTGACTAAGATGCTCCATTATTTTTTTATTGATAATCGATTAAAAACCCGTTGGCCCTTTGACAACAGCGCAGCAGCAGCAGTCACACTGGCCGGTCAATCAGCTCGTGCCGAGTCTGCCGCTCTTCAAGTACGAGGGCGCGGAGACGCGCAACTTCACCATACCCGCGGCCGTGACCAATCTCTACCTCATCGAGATGCAGCCCATCAGCTCGCCCGACTTCGTCGACGTACGGACGAGGGCGCCCAACACGGTCCTCATGTACGCCACCTCGGACGCGCTCGGACATCTGCCCAGCAGCCTCATAACTCCGACCCGGAGCAAGAGGCACCAGCCGCTGCTCGAGTTCCAGCAGAAGTGGAGCAGGCGCCGACTCATCGTTTCTTGGAATAAAAAGTATGCAATTTGACGATATTTAGACTTGATACTAGTTTTTTACAACTTGCATACAATATTTTTTAAAACAAAATCCTAAAATAAGAGACAAAGTTGCAATTTTTTAATACAAGTCCTGTAAAAATACGTATTGTGCTTTGTATGTGATTTGTATTATCATTCACTAGGTGGTCCACACTGAAAAAATTTTGCACTGAATTCGTGTTCACCTGTGGTCTTTTATTGATATCACACTATAGTGTCTTAACTTTATATTCACCAGTTAACTTGAAGAAAGTTCACGGCTACTGTGACAGGAATTTAGGTTCACGGTGAACGCGATTATCAAGCACTTCATGTTGTCGGGGCGATTGGACTCTATTGGACTATAACTTGTAAAAAGTTCACGACGATGGTGTCAGGGATTTAGGTTCACGGTGAACGCGATTATCAAGCACTTTTTGTTGTCGATTCGACGATTGGACTATATTTAAGTAAAATCTTACATAAACGAGCCTATTTTCTTTATAATATTCGAAAATATTGTAAAAACTTTGTTATTTAAAAAAAAAAGATTTATAAAATATTGCAGTAAAATAGTCGTGATTTATTGTACTTATCAATATTATTTACAAAGGTAACAAAAATATCGCTTATCAGTTATGCCTAGTAAAAACATCATTATTATTAACTAGTTCAACAAATAACAATGGTGAAGTTTTGGTTAGTGATTGAACCTCTACATAAGTGTGGCGATTTGTTTCAATGACTTCATAAGCATGAATATGTGTATCAAATGATAGTTTCTAATAAGTTTACACGGAAAAAAATTAATTTATCCGTTTTGTATACGTATATATGTTATAGCCAGCCAGCTAATAAATAGTTCCATGCGTAGCCGCGTAATTGATTTCAAGCGTTGGCTTTACGGTGGTTCTGACATGTGCATTGTCGATATCGCAATATGCCGTCACGCGTGAAGCCAAATTCTTGTCACAGTGACAAATGATTCCCTTCAAAATATTAGTATACTGTTTTCTGTTCACTGTGTCATAAATAGTTGTTCATTTGATGAATATAAGATACATTCACGCTGTAGAGATCTATTATTCAGTGCAAAATTTTTTCAGTGCAACCTTAGTGGAAAAATTTTTACGATTTGCACAAAGTATAACGTCAAAAATGTATAATTTGATATAATATCAAAATTGATTTTGAACAAGCAGTATCTTTTTCCATAACAGATGTAGTAATAAAAAAAAACTCTATATTTACGTAGAATCAAATCACATAAGAGGAATACGTAACATGATTCTAAAATGAACATTTTTTAATCAGTCATTGACAAAATACACAAGATAATGTGTTTCAGTTTTTAATACAATCGAACATACATTTTATAGATTTATTGGATCATAATGCACGAGGGGTGTGCCATATTCATGTGAGCTTTGAGATTGGTTTTTTGGCCAAATATCTTTCCGCATGTCTTGCAAGCATAGGTATGATCATGTGTCGATTCGACATGCCTCGTAAGACTGGATCGTTTTCTATACTTTTTTTCACATAAGTCACATGAGTGAGTGATACCGTAATGGACTGCTTTCAAGTGAGTTTGGAGATTACCTTTTCGTGTGAATGTCTTTTCACACACATCACATGTAGGTCTCATACCATTGTGTACGGCATCAATGTGGATTTTCAGATACCTTTTTTGTCTAAAAGACTTTCCGCAAATATCACATGCATACTTAATACCTTTATGGATCGTATCAATGTGTCTTTTGAGGCTACTTTTTTGTGTGAATGTCTTCTTACATGTATCACATGTATGTCTGTTATCGTTGTGCACCTCATCGATGTGCGATTTGAGATGACCTTTTTTAGTAAAAGACTTTCCGCAAATATCACATGCATGTGTGATACCATTATGTACCGAATCGATGTGAATTTGGAGACTCCCTTTTTGTGTGAATGTCTTCGTGCATATAATACATGCATAAGTAATTTTATTATGCACAGAAACGACGTGAGTTTTTAGATGAGATTTCTTTTTGAATGTTTTTCCACATGTACCACAGTTGTAGGTCAATTTTTCTGTCTTTCTTCGTTTTTTATTTTGCTTTTGAAGTTCGCAGTCCGAATTCATTTTCAATTCGTTTGCGTCGTCGTCGTCGCCAAATTCCTTTTTTACCTTGTCTAAAAGTTCTATTTTAATCATGTTTTGATTTCTGTAATCATCGCCATATTTCATACATTGCCAGTGATTGTCGGAATAAACTTCAGTTTTTTCAACTGCCAATAAATTCATGTTGTGCTTCGCGTCTACACACTCGAAATCTATTTCTAACTCATCGTTAAGATTACTGTCATGATTTTTATTACATTCTTGACGCTTCTGTAAATATTAAATACTAAGTAATGCAAAAGTTTACATCAAACATTTCTATCATACAAATAGAATGTAATTTCTACATCTTACCGAATATTCTAGCACAATGTGGGAGACTTGAAAATTTTTAACATCGAGCATCTTGTCAATTGAAGTTTTATGATTTTTGATCAGAGAATCGTCACAAGGTTCCAATTTTACTCTGAAATAAGTCCAACCAAATTAATTTTCCGATGTAAAGATATTTCTATACTTTTAAATTGCATATATATTAATTACTTGACAGCCCATTGAAATTTTCCATTCGATTCCATTTTTTTCACTTGAAATATTACTAATGATAAACCTCTCTGCAATAATATTGAGTATCGAATGAACTCTCTTTCCGCTGGCTTTCGGCGGCTATATAAACAAACCATATTATTATTGTTGAGATAATGTGTGTTTCTCTTACACGACGGCCGCTGAATAGAAACTTTTAACGATATTTTGTAATCATGATATTGAAATTCAACAGACTCAATATAAACGTAGAAGCCCTAAATTATTTTGTATTCACGGAGAATATAACATTATTAATCTGCCTAACAAGCAATATTTATATTTCTATAATTGATATTTTCTGGAAAAGAATTTTTTAAAATAAAATAACTTTCTACTGTTTGTGAAGTTTGCTGAGAGTATAGAGTAGAAGATAGTCGAGTTTATTTGATTAAGAACTCAAAAAAGATAGTGACGAAAAAAAACCAAGTATCAAATACTACCTATCTTAAAACAAGAAATAAAGGAAACTATATGTCATGCAATGTTTATTAGGCTTTGAAATATTTAGGACTCTCAGCTTTATTAGCTTTAGTTCAGCAAGAGAACTTTTCAGTATAGTTTTAGTACATATGGACGGACAGTGATGTGAAATAATTGCGAATAGCTCTAATCACGTATAGAAAACGAACACCATTTCACAAAAAAGCTTTGGTACAAATAATGATATTATGAGGGTATTCAAATTTTTTAGAGAATCGATACTTCCACGTATGTCACACGTGTCCGTCAAAGGCCTAGTAATATCTTAAAATTAACGAAGAATATGATCATAAAATATTATTTCTTCATTTAGTTATTTCTGAATAAGATACCAAGAGCCGAGTTTTGAGGAAATAGATGATTTTTCAATTTTAATTGCGGACTTATATCTGCAATTACTCAGATTCCATTCTACCTTTCAGTATAAGTATTTTCATACACGATCGAGCTTTGAAACATTTCAACGCCGTGAAATGTATAAAATTAATAATGGAACACACGCGAATGAAATTTGTATCGAATGGACATCGAATCTTCATCTGTTTGAATCGAAGTTCTCGTGAAGCTTCAATGATCGAATCACTCACCACATCCATTTACTTGTTATCTAAGACATTAACTCGCAAACCTACGCAGCGATCGCCTAGACCGGTACTAAGCGCGGATCGTGGCAGTTCTTCTGCATGCGGGACCTCGAATGCGCCTGTTGGTACTCGCTCGATCCTATAATACGCATATATTATATGACTGAGCACAAAATCGCCTGCCAGACGGACAAAAGCGAACTTGAAGCTACGGACTCTAGTGACGTCAGTCGCCCCCGCGGCTTCGATAAGCGAGTTCGCGCGTGTACATATGCGTATGCTAAGCGAAGAACGCGAGGGCTCGCCCTCCGCGCAAAAGCAACACGTTCTCACGCATCGGGCCCCCGTCTATACACGTGCGCATATACACCTATACACGTATAATAACGTTGCTCTTGGTTTTTTTCTTCTCGCTTTTTTTGGTTCGCCAACTGCAGCCAAATCGAGCCAGCCTCGTCGTCGAGCAGCTACTTGCTGGCCGTGACGACGTCGGGTCACCTCCATCCGCCGACGCTCTGCACCGCCGAGAACATCCTGAAGAAGCACCCGTGCCCGAGCAGCGACCGGCTCCAGGCCCAGGACGCGGCCCACCGACCCGAGCCCGAGGGACTGCACTGCGTGCCCCGCAACAGGATCACCCTCAAAGGCGTCAAGTACAACACGACCTACTACTTCACGCTCTACATTGTAATTGCGCATGGATTAACTAGGCAACAAGTAGCGTACGAGTGCTAATATTTAAACAAAAACCTATTCCTTTTGCAGATGAACACTCACAATAACGTATCCAGCCGCGTGGCCATGGATTCGTTCAGATTCGAGAGAAAACCACCGATAATCCTGCAGAGCGGTCGACACGCGATAATCGACTTGGCCAAGAGCGACGGATTCGCCTTGTTCCGTTACAGGCCGAGGGACAACGCGACCACCTTATTCGATATTCTGGCTTGCGGCGTCTGCTCGATCAAAATGAAAATTCGCGGCCCGGGATACTGCTTGGTACGCACGAGTTTTTCATAGACTTTATTCGACCTTTCGTCATGATGAACGAGGAACACCGGAATGTCAAAGTTTTTTATTTTTAACAGGAGGAGCAAATAAGCGGCGAGTTCAGAGTAAGAACTCCAGCACTTCCGGCGGGAAAGAGGTTCAGCATTCAACTCGCAGCGTCTCAGTTGGACCTGTCGAAAGCCAAAACGTCCAAAGTCAAGATTTTGGCTATTGACAACGAGGCTGTACCCTTCAACGATGTAAGTTTTTCAATCTTTAATCGAAATAGCAATCGCGAGCTTTTTCATGATTTTTCACTTTGTTGAACTTTGTTTGCTATACACAAACGATCGAGGCCAAATATTTTTCTCCGTAAATAAAATTGAAAAACTAAGCTGGTGTCTTTGATTGCAGTACATATTGCAGAATTCAGCTGCCTCGTCACTGGGTGGTGGTAATCAGTGGGAGTACAGATCTTTGCGCAAGTGCCGGGCAAAGTCAGCCTCTTGGTGCGCGTCGCACCAACGCCAACACCCGTCGCAAGCTTACGGCGATCGCAGAAGAACGACAGACCCGACCCACTCTTTCATAAGGCCCTGCCCTGCGTCTTTGGTTTAAAAAAAGAGCATCGTCTCTCGAGCCAATTGCTACGTCACGATCACTTTATACGTCGAAAAATAATATAATTCTATTATGGCCGCGGATCGTTTTGAGTTTTGTTTGGCTGAGGCACTTGCGTATGCCAACGATCCGAGCGATTCGACGCTCGAAGAAAAAAGACAAACAAAAACACAAAACAAAAATACTCGGTCAACGTGCAGAGCGTCGCTTATTCTGCCGGTATAGTTGATTCGAACTCCAACCAAGTCACACCACTAAATAGATTCGTTTATCGTACGTGCGATTGTCGTTGCTCGATTGATAAACTTACGTATTTCTAAAAGCACGCCTCATTGGTTTTATTAGGTTCAACAAATTTTCTAAAAATAAGTTAAATGTTGACAAAGTGTTCCGAGTTGATTATACCTGCTTGCCATTCGTCATTTCAGCCTCTCTAGTTATTCAATACGTTGAGATGCTATACAGTGATAGATAATACATGCATGGTGCGTGAAAAAATAACTACTGATTATGTAGCTTTTTGCAAATTCCCGAGTCAAAACACGCGTTTTAGAATTATGTCGCCGTAGAGAGATTTATTTGTCTACTTTGTTATATCTATGCATGTACACATTTATGCATATATTTCTTAATAATAATAGACATTACAATATATTTAATTCTGCGCAATTTCTCAATTAATCAATCTGATATGGATCATAAAATTAATATAGAAAAGATTTATGAGTTTGACATTGTTTAAAAATGTTTCATACATGATTTGAGCTTTCAACTACAGAAAAAGGTATTTTAACTTATTATCATCCGTATTTTAAACTTTTTAGTGTAGAAGGCGCAGATAGAGTAAATAAAAAATGAAATGCAACAAGTATTTAGCTTAAGGATTATTTAATTAAAAATAAATTACTCAATAAATAATAATTTCTTACCTTTTATCAGTGTACTTGTCATGCACACTTGATAATAAGAAAGGTAAAATAATTTCTCTCCTTGGATCATAGGATCCATAGGATAGAACAGTAAATAAAATTTAAATTCTTAGACTACAAAATCTGGTTGACTCAAATTTTTGGATTTTAACAAGTTATTATTAAGACAGACGAATTTTGAACATTGATCCATTTGTAAATAAATTGATTCACTGTCTTCAAGACATGAGTTTTATACATGAATTTTGTGCTGTGGCAATTTAAGCTTCAACAAAATCCTAACGACAAGATTAATTTTTCACCGCACCAATCTTTGCGTAAAAATTGAATTTGAAATTGTAATTTAATAATATATAGTACAATGTATGAGCACTGCTAAAAATTACCTATAATATATACTTAAATATTTTCTTCTTAGCAATGTTAATTTTAATGCAAATAAAATTACACTTTTGTACTTCAATTTTAATTGTAATGTAAAACCTATATTTAAATCGCTGGTTTATCTATCTCAATAAAGAGAGCAATTTTATATTCATTGTGTTATGTTTGATCATAATATCTTACCTTTCTAAAAACGATGTATTCATTTTAAAAAAAACATAATATGGATTTAACATAAGCTCATTCTTAATAATAATAATGATAATATTCAGCATTCTTATCAGAATGTAATTTTTCAATTTATATTTGATTTAAAGCTCATTTTTATAATAATATAACATTGTTGTCTTTGTTCATTTTAGACGTTGAGCTTTTGATAAATTTTGTTAATAAGTTTTTTTATCAAATTGATTTAATTTTCTTTATCTAGTTATCTTTTAGATAAAAAAAGTGAAAAATAACCATTTTTGAGCCAGATGTTACGTTTTTCTCATCTAATATATCACCTGTGATTCATGAATTTCAGTCAGTGGTGAAGAGAGCTGCGATGGCTTATAAGTGAGAATTTTTACTAACAATTAAAACAGATCGTCTTTTTTTTACTTTCGCTGAAAACAATGGGGCGTGAATTTATCGTGCTTGATGACATTTGGATTTCAAGCAAAAATAGTGAAAAGTCGCTGTTGAACATCACGCAGTTACTTCCACTCATCCTTGATTGTTTTCAGGCGGAATCTGATCTCGCAAAATTTAACTACGCATTCAAAATTACTCTTCAAGCATTTTTATGGCCTACAGTGGTGATCGGTGTAATGGGAAATTTGGCAGTCTTGATTCGCATATTCGCGGGCTATACGAGCAAGCCTTCCAACCACTCAAACGTTCCCCTGAAGACGTTCTATTTGTTCTCGCTTGTGTCGTTCGCCGTATCGGATCTGCTGTTCCTCGTGAGCTCCGGCACCAATGCGCTCGCGACGATAAGCCGCGACAAAGTCGGTCTCTGGAACTTGCCGAGTTGGACGTGCAGTGTCTTGCCTTACTTGCAGACGGTCGCCGTCATATCGGGTTCCATTACTCTGACAGGAATCGCAGTCGATCGGTATGACAAGTGATAAGTTGGATAATCGATTTTTATAAATGGACACATGGACACCTTTCGCAGGTACAAAGCTCTGGAGATAAACCCCGCTTGGAGTCAAGGTCTATCGTGGCCATGCGTAACGCTCTACAATTTATTCCTCTGGCTGCTCGCTTTCGGCGTTTCGTATCCTATTTTAGGAATGTACACTATTCGAACCTTCAAGTACAGAGGCGAACACGGATGTGTCGAGTGAGCTCCAATTGTATATTTAAAATCAAACTTTTATTCATTTTTTAAAGTGGTCTATCACACGCTCGCTCGTATGCAGCGGACGTGTGTAAATAAAATTACAATTCAATTCAAAGCCTCACAGTAACAAAATGTTTTTCCCAAAATTAGGGGGTTTCAATGCGGCCTCGAAAGCGACATCCACGTCCATTACAATGCTGCACTCGTGTATTCAATTATTTTCGCTGTAATATTCATGCCGCTCATAATCGTTTTCATCACGGTGCACGTGCTCTTAGCTTCAAACATTTTGCGATTCAGGCTTCACTCCAGCGAAATGCATCAATCGTCTGGAAATAATTCACAACCGGCCGCTGCAGAAAATTCAACAGGTCTGATATTTCTCATAGATTTATGGGGCGAACGGATTTTATTTATAAACACTCACAAAACTTTGAGTCTCCTTTACTCGAAACAATTAATTTTATACTATTCTGGTAATTGGCACTTTTTTCAAGCACATCGATGACTTTCAATCGAAAAAATTTTATTTCAAGTTGTATACATAAAATTGTAAATGTTTAATTATTTCCATGCTGATGTACTATACGCTTTTAGTACACGAATTTTCAAAGAGAAATAATGTAACCCTGGAAGGAGCGCAACATTTTACTATTCAACATTAAGTGGCGATTATTGTTGAAAAAATCGTTACAAAAATGTCGAATAAATGTTGCGTTTCTACCATGAAAAGATACATCTAAATTCAAATAATACTTATTCATTAATGGAATATTTCATGGTGAAAAAGTCAAAATGAAAATGTATAAAAGTACTCGATTTATTTTTTAGGTCCAACGGAAGCAAAAAATAATCCATCGCGGCTCCCACCAAATGAGCCCTTAAATATGACTAAACGAAAACGAAGGATAATAAAAATCATTTCCGTCTTGATAATCGTTTATATCGTTGGAAAACTTCCAAGCTGGATACTTCTCATGTGTAAACTACGTATAAGCTTAAAAGGAATGTTTTGGGTATATGTTCAGCAGATATTTTCAAGTTTGATGTTGTTAAATGCAGCACTCAATCCTTTTCTGTACGCCTTTTTGACTGAAACTTTGTCGGTTATTGATGTTTTAAAAAAAGTTCGTTGTTGCAAAAAGAATGATCCAGTGTATTCGATACCCAATTGTTGAAACAAGAAAATCATGTAAAAAGTGTGCACTAAAAGGCATTTTTTGCTATACTATTGCAAAATAGTAGATTACGCGACGGGGGCGGGAGGTTGTCGATCTGTACGAATGTCAAGTTTAGCGTAGAAGCGAGCGTAGCGAGGATTGCTAGATTGACAACCTCCCCAGTTTCGTACTCTAATTTTCATTACAACGTGCGGAAAGTCGATTTTGAGATCGCCAGCCGTGCGCAAAAGTAGCACTGTCCGCACGCAGTGATGAAAATAACTATTTCGTCATACTATTGCATAAAATATTTTTCTTGGATGAAAACTACCCATAAAATGTTGAACATCTATTGAACTTATTAATTTTAAGCTGAATAAAGTAAAATTCTTAGTCATTAAAGTATCAGAAAAGGGCAATACTGTCGGGAAAATTGTCTGTGAAAATATTTATTATTGTAGACAAGTTGATTGAAATGATAAAAATGTAAGAAAAACAATGTTCATGCGGATACGTCAGCTTCGCAAACTTCTCGCAGCACATAGCCTGAAGTGCCTTTGGGTTCGTATCTGAGATAGTGGATGGCTCTGCGCAGTAGCTGACTTTTGTCTTGGCCAGGGCAGGTGGCCAACTCGCGCAATGCAATGGCATAATACACACCGAGTCGAGCCCCGTGAGGATCGACTTTGTCGAACGTTTGGAGCAGCCTCTCGCAGAGCTCGAGCTTTTTTGGGTCCGCAGGGTCGAGCATCTGCAGCATGGAGTGACCTATCGTGAGGCAATGCTGATGACACGGATGCAGCAGCACCATTAATCTGAAATAATTCAACACTTTAATGACGAATCTCATTTCATTATCACAGACTGGCAGATAGTGGGAGATTATATTATGTATGTACTGATCAATCATATCACATATGCTGGTCTTATTTTTATTACCATCGATAATAAACCTCAATTATCGCAAATCTTTTGTAGAGTCTTGATTTTCATATCTATTAGCCGCATTTATCCTACTATTTTTTATGATTTCTATGAGTATCATAATTCCATCTTTTCCATTGGCATAATTGAGAAAATCAGCACGCAATTGTAGGTTTTACTTACATTATGAACTTATCAATCTACACCTAAGTATATTGGTGCCCTTATGCCTAGCTAGATATAGATTTGATTGATGCTAAATAATCATTTTTTAATAATGGCATGAGTTAAAAGATCAGCACATTTACTCTGTCACTATCTGAATGAATCGAATCCGAAAAGGATAGGTGAATTTGTTACCTCATCAAAAGATCGGTCATAATATCCTTCTGTGGGACACTCATGGCTGCCTCGACCTCCTCGCCGAGACGGTCGGTAAGTTGAGCGACTTCGCCGGCACTGAGAAGCCCGGGACACTGTTTGCACGACCAGTCGGAGTCGGGCTTCAAGGGATGATCCGGCGTGACGTAGCCCTTGCCGCAGGGGCACTTGAGCGTGCCAACGTGACTGTCGAGCTCGGTGGGATCGGCGCACCTTTTGCATTTGCAGGTGAAATACTTGGTCGACAGAAGATGCTCGCGTCTCATGCGCGTCGACCACAAGACGTGCGTGTACGACGTGCTCAAGTGTTCGCCTCTGACCAATGAAAAGTAATTTCAATATAGATTTTCTTACTCGATTATCGTTACGATTATAAGTACTTTTTGATATCCCTGACGGCGATGACGTTGATCCTCGGTACGCCTCTTGTGTCGGGGTCGAAGGTGAGCCTCGTGTTGGGCAAACAGTCGTGCTCCAAAAGACAAGCGGCTTCGTAGATGGCCATCGAGCCGTCCGGTGGATTGGTCTCGAGGCCGTTGACGTCGATGATGCCGCAGACCTGGGGCAACAATTTTTCCAATTCCGAATCGATTTGTAGGAACGGCCGCAGGTACTCGATGGCCTTCTGAGTTTCCTCGTGCGCTTCGCTTCCTGGACCTCTGCTTTCCAAGTGACTGCTCAGTTTCATTAGCTGGCGCCAGCGCTTGGGTTGTTTATTACGCATCATGAGGCATCGTAGAGCCAATAAAAAGTCACATCTAAACATAATTTGATCTTCTTAATGATGAAATTTGAAGTATCGATTAAACGCATAATAGTTAAGTATCAATAAATAACGTCGAAGTTAAAAAATCACATACGTGCAATGCCTAATTTTGGTGAGGCCTTTGAATGTGAGATTTGTCACAAATCATTTGGATACAAAGGTGACCTCAATAAACACATCAGTGCAGTACATGATCGCAGTAAAGCCTTCGAGTGTGACATTTGTCACAAATCATTTGGACCAAAAGGTGACCTCAATAAACACATAAATTCAGTATATGATCGGAACAAACTTTTTGAACGTGACCCTTGTGACTTGTCACAAATTATTTGGACAAATAAGTATCCTCAATAGACACATAAGTTCCATACATTATAGGAACAAGCCCTTCGAATGTGAGATTTGTCAAAATCCTTTGGAAGAAAATATCACCTCAAAACTCACATTAATGTAGTACATGATCAGAGTAAACCTTGGGAGTGTGATATTTGTTCCGAGACATTTGAACCAAGTGAAGAATTTTACAATCACACAAGTATACGCTATGTAATTACAGAAAATCGTTCCTATACTATCCTTAAATTTTGAAGAACGTTAAAATATTTCGAACTGTTATACGTTTGGTCGCAACTATCGCCGTACATTTAATCATATATTAACAGTTTTATCTTCAATTCGTTCGTCAAAGTATTGAAATATTTAATTTGTCAATAAAAATGCTCTGCAAGTGGTAACAGTTCAGCTCATCCGATGCAAAGTATACTCAGAGTATGTATGCGCCACTGTATCGCCCATGTATGAGCTACATATAGAACTACATATAGAACTACATAATATAATGCGATTCGTGCGCGATAACTACCACCAGCCGGTTGAGCTCGACTCAAACGACATCGTATTATTTTATGAATTAAAAAATTCAGGGTCAATGTAGAAATCAAAATAAGTTCATTGCAAATACCACTTCCTAAATTCATATATTTCATGTTCCTGTCTTTCAAGAAAGAAAAGGTTTTTTATACCTGGGCAGAAGTTTGGCCGCGGCGAGGACTTTGCACTCGAATCCGTGAATGGCCTCGTCCACCAATCCGTCGCAGGCGTGTCGACAAGCCGGCCAAGCGCAGCCGGGACATCGAGCGACGTAGGCCCCGAGCTTGCCACAGCCGACGCAGACCCGATCATTGAGGTGGGCCGTGGGGCCCCAGACGATCGGCGCCTCCGAAAATATAATCTCATCCGGCTTGAGGTCGCGCCTGGCGACCAGATGACGGCCCAGCTCGGGGCTCTCGAGCACCTCGTAAGCCTTGCAGTGGTCCTTGTGGCGCGGCCAGTCCTCGCGCTGGTGCTCCTTGCCGCAGTAGAACTCGCGATGGCAGCTCGAGCAGCGCATGAAAGCCGTCATGTCGCACACGGCACAGGCTCCCTCCGGCAGCTCGTCGTACGTCGAAGACATTTTTCACGTTCTCTTCGTACGAGCTCGATCCTTGAAAATGTAATTCCACACTGCACAGAGATGCACTTGTAAATGCACTTTGACAGATAAATTATTACTTTACTATCGAGTGACGATCGAATCAATTTATGAAAACAGAAGAGCGGTTTCAAACACACTTACAAATGGTATAACTATTTCACGGAGTCAGTGGATATTTTACTCACAGCGTTTTTCCTTTAGCTAACTATAAAACAAGTCATAATAAAACCGATTGAATTTTCTTCGTTGGATGCACCAACTTATGCTTTCTTGACAAATTTTCTGTGGATCAACGATCTCTCTGAATGCTGAACCGGATAGACATCAAAGTCAAGACTGTTTCTAAAGTTATCTCAAGAAACCTACAGAAACGCGCGATACAGGGTGGGGGTGTTTAATTTTAGCCTACCTTAAATAGCATAGCGCATGAAGTCTATAATGCTATAATAATATTAAAAAACTTATGTAATTTCATCTAAATCTAACACGAGTGGACACGCGTTTACGCATATTACATAGACAAAATTGTTTCAAGGAATATTGAGAAATTAAAATAAAATGAAATTTATAAAATATCATTTATTAACGAGTTTTGTTGTATATTTGATACTTACAACTATAAAACGAGTTTCATTCAGAAACAATTAACTACACGAACACATCATTTTGATCCGATTATAACTTGAAAAACAAATCATAACAGAAATAAATTACATATCAAATATAAATATTTTTTATGTACAGAACTTATGTTTCATAATGTAACGGATTATCGTAGCAATATTTATCTTTATTAGTTTAATATATTTTTCATTATTTATCTTCAATTTGGCATAGTTGTATAAAATATTTTTGTTAATGTAATGTACAATAATAAATAGTTGATTTTTATACACTTTTATATACTGATAATGTATATGATGCCAATCACACACGCCTTAATTTTTAACTTAAATTTAAGAAAATTAGTAATATCAATAATGCAATTGATAAGTTCAATTCAGATTCAAGACTTTCAACACGTAACTCTTTGGCGTATAATAATAGTATGTCATGAACAGAATAAAAAATATAACAATAAGATTTATTGTACGACTTTGACTAAAATATTATATCTGAGTATCAAACTTTTTTGTATAGTTCCAAAGTTACGTGCAGTTGAATGAATATGAATACAAAATGAGTTTTGCCACTAAGGACGGTTTATCATAATTTTGTGTTTTCGTCGAGAATAATGTTTGTGACCTATTAAAATAATTACGGGTTTCAAGTCTTTAATAAACTGTTTTGATTGAAATTTCAAGACAGTTTAGTAAGTCAAACATTTATCACATGACGAGGATAATATACATATTAATTTTTTACACAAAAAATATGCTTTTTTGAATTTTTACACCACTAATCAAAACTATTTTTAAAATCAGACCAAACTGTTTGTCAAAATTAACATAATATTGTAGATTTCAACAATTTAATTACAAAAAAACTAAATGAATAGTTTAAACTATGAACAATTTTGGTATCCGATTTTTTTAATGATTTTTTTTCTTGCTACTAACATTACCGTTGGAATTTTTTTCTAATTTCAATATATATGTACATTTTCGTAAGTGATTACCACAGTCTTTGAGAGATTTAACTAAATTACAAATTATGACTGAAGGCGACTCATATTCATTTGGTACGATACCATCTACAGATGATTCAAAGAAGCTAAACAAAGGAAACCAAATTCTTGTTCTATTCGAATCCCTTTGCATCAAAGCTTGATTGTTGGCTAATGTATGATAATACAAAAATAACCTGGACGTGATATAAAATGCAACAAAAACATCGATGGAATAGTGTTCATGAGCTGCAAGAATGAAAAATATGCCAAACATATTCAACATCCATGTGAAAGTGTGAACGAAATAAAATTGCCTTGGAGTATCTGCAAAAAAAACTCTCTTTTAATTTTCTATACATTTTATGATTTTTAAAAAACTTTAAGAATTGTATAAAATATTTTTATTTGAAAGTAAAAAAAAATATGCTTACACTCTGTTATAAAAAAATTTAGCATCGTTAGTGCTACCGTGTGCCCACTGAACATGTAATCACCACAAGTTCTAACTCCTTGGATAGACATTCCAGCCCCACGCCAAATCACATAAGCCATCTCTATTTTATTGTAAAGTTCATTGTAAAAACTCCTAGAATAGATTGAAACGAGTTTCCAATAAACTTATAACATCAATCATTGAAATAAAATGCAAAATAGAAACACTTACACAGAATCTGGTGTATACACATTTCTTGGCTTACATTGTAAATGTGCACCAGGAACTGAGAGTGACGTAATCAACATCGTGACGCATCTTAATAGAAAAACTGTACCAGAGAGCGCAAAGAACCTTCTCAATAAAATGAATCTAGAAAATCCAATTATTAAATCAAAAAAGTTTTATACTTTTTTGTATTTAAGATTAAAAAAATCATCAATTTTTTACCTGTATTTGTGAAAAATTAATACTAGCAACCACAGAGCAAATAAGAGGGTTCCTGTTACTTCACACATATCAAATGCCCATGGTATATGTGGCACATTATCTAAGAATATATCCGGTAGTGGTGGATATTTTTTCATATCAGGTACCCTGTCATGAACTATTACCATTACAAAAGCAGTGATCCATGTGACAATGAACAAATATCCTAAGCTTATGAAAGCCTTCCAAATTTCTGGAGGTAAATGAGAAGCAGTACCATTTTCTGATACAGATGCAGAATAAAATTCCTGATCAATAGAACTATCTACAGTTCCACCACTAAAAGTTATGACCTAAATCAAAAATAATTTATTATTCACTCCAGAAATCAATTAATTTCAATAACTTATAAGGCTAAAAATATTCTCACATCATTATTTCTGGAAGAATATGATATTGGTGTATGGAGTATTTCTAAATATCCTAGTTCAATTAATTGAGATACGTTATCTTTTTGTAATTGTTTAATACTGATAATTAGCCTCTTTGTCTTTCCGATTCCAAAAATGTCCATTCTATTTAAATCATCTTCCTTTAATATCAATAAAGCCTTGCCATCAATGTCGTGAACTTTAAATTGCTCAACTGCATGAGTATGACCAGATTGTAATAACCAACTTTCAACATCTCGTACACTCCAATCAATTACATTTTTTGGCCTCATTTTTGCCCGAGCAGCTTGTTTATGATCTTCCATATTTTGAAATTCTGAAAAATGAAATAGAATAACTTGATAACTGATTAGATAAAGAAATTAAGAATAGTATTCTTGTGTTAGGCAGTTGACAAAAAAAATTTTAATTATTAAAAGAAAATGATTGGAATGCAGTTTGAAACTCAATAAAATAAACATCTTAAGACTTGTCCAAGTTAGACACTTGAGAAAAGAACAGCCAAATATAAAAGTAGGACATAACTGTTTTGCATGATTTGCATGATGTATGAAATTCTAAGCATTAACATATTCTACTCATAATATCTTTTGAGTCCTGTCATTTTCACTTTTTTATAAAAATAATATTACACTAGTTGTTGTTGTTGATAAAGAATAAAGTAAGTAGCAAGGTTAAGTAGAAATTCAATAATAAAGCAACTGGACGCTTACTTATGCTTTGGCAAAATGAATTTTTCGAATGTGGTTAAGGCATGTTGATGCGAATGTTCAGTTAGATGGACAAATATTGTCACGTATTCGTTTACCTGTGCAGATTGTCATTAGATTGTAACGGTGGAAAAAAGGCTATAAATTTCGAAGACTGCAGATTGTTGAACTCGCGGGATTCATGTTAGCATACTGCGAGGCACTCGACGCGACTGCCAGAGGCTTAGAACTCCAAAAACTCGTAATATCTATCGAAGCTATCGGGCTAGCTGCTTTTTAAACGAGCGTCGTCGAAGGCGATCAACGAGCATTTTACGCCTTTGTCGTATAGCACACACTGCAGACTGTATATGTATGAAGCCTTTACGTACTACTTACTAGTAAGCAATTACTCATCGCAATCGCGCGTTCGCTCGAACTGAGCATTGAATACCGAAATACCGAATAAACGGTACATGAGAGCTCAGAGCTGACTCGCGTATCGCCTGCGCCTGAGACTGTGTGTGTTCTGTCAATGTTTGTCAGTACGATATACCTATATTTCGCTCGAGTATGTGTGAGCCGTCTACTCTGTGTAGTGGCTACGTGTAGTGGTGCTAAGCTGACTGCGTGTGCACTGTGCGCGAAAGTCGGAGAGCCCCGCGACGTTGCCAAGTCTGATATTTTCATTTTTCATCTCATAATTTGAAAATCTTTCATTGATACTAGAATAGATTCAATTGTCAATTCATTTGCAATTGTTTATTTTGAAAAATTGCAGGATAATGTAAACATTGATCGATTGACGTACATGCAGCTTTATTTGAACGCAATCGTTGTTTAAAATGAAATGCAGATCATTCATTTTTCTCGCGTTAATCAAATTGCAAAGTGACTCATTATTGCTTGATATTATCGGTCAAATAGCAATGCTACCATATCTTGGATTAGAAAATATGCAGTAGAGCAATCAATAAATGTTCGATTTCAACTAAAATAGATTTATTTGACAAAATTAACAAACTTAAATTTACGTAAAAGATTGTCTTATTCAAAACAACATTGCATTAGTTTGTTTATAAAAAATTTCATTAAAGAATCCTCAAAACGAAAATATACTGCTAATTCCAATGACTTTTCTATTTTTATGCGATTAAATGATCAAATGCATTTGAGAAAAATTTCCGTGCATTGTCACGAATTCTTCTTTGTGCTTGCCGATGTTTTGACAGCGAATGCCGATATTATTGTTTCTTAGGGAGACAATAAGAGTTCCGGAAACTTTCGTTGTTTTTCTAATGTTATGGATAGAGAAGTTATCAAGTCTAATTTACGTGGCATGATTGGCGGGAAGGTCGGGAAACGAAAAACGTCGATGAGTCGGATTGTTTCACTCGAATTTTTTAAAAAGTATAATTTCGTAGAAGAAAATGCCGACAGTTCTTGACAAGTGATAGTCCATTAAGAATGTATGAAAATGAAATGAGTGTTTGTACGATAAAGTGTGATTCATTGTTTTGAAAATGCAAGTTCATTTTATAAGCGATTTTCGATATCAATGGAGTTTTCATTGTCCCTGCACGCAGAAGCTAGAATGCATAAATCGTTGATTCACCCCAATTGTTAAATTAAGCACATTGTGGAGAAAGAAAAAAGAAAAGCCACTATAAACAAAATGCGAGTCTATTGAAAAACGGTAGCCGTTACAGCGCAGTTTGGATTTTGAAAATCGAACGCGGAGAAACTCGGACTCGCGCGTTTATACTTGGAGCTATGTGGTTGGTGCCGCGTGCGTAAGACGTGCGTAGGAGAAAGGGAGAACGTTAACTGTCCATATATATACACATGTATACAGGATAAAGTAACGTCCAAGCGGCAAAGCAGTGCGTTGATATACCAAAGTCCGAATTATGCACTCTAGCTACGAGGCAGAGGAGTGCGAGAAAGACAGTCGCGTAGCGAGAGAGCGGCTTGAAACGAGCGAGCCCGAGTGAGCGCGAACGAGCGCGACCGGCCCGACGACTGGCCGTTTGCTTTGCTCCGTACGCGGCCCGAAGAATCCGCGTAAACGCGCTGCGAGCGGGCGGAAGAATGGCTTATGGCAGGCGGCTGCAGCCAGCAAGGGCGGAGAGGGAAAGCAAAGGTAGGCGCACGGAGCGTAGGCAGCGCAAAGCTCTGCGCTCGACAGCAGCAGCAGCAGCAGCCAGCAGCATGCCACCACTATATACGTATATAGCACAGAAACGCACGTACGCGAGCCGATGGCTCCGGGCAGCATACTTACACACACTGTACAGTTGCTAACTCGCCTCGCTGTTCGTTAGTTTTCTCTCTCTATATGTGTCTGTGTATACCGTCCGCCACTAGTAGTAGTCCTGCTTAAATACCAAACGTGAATTTCATAGTTTCAGTGTGTCCTCGAGCGCGCCTGTATATACACGGGCTATACGGAATCGCGAGGCTTTTAAGTGCATATGTGAGTACAGTTTACGCGTTCGTTGCCAACGAGCAAAGGTTCAACAAACGGCCAAGAGCCGCAGTGATAATATTAAAGGACTCTCTCGTGAATCAAAGTGAATTGTAAAGTAACTGCAGCAGAGATTCAAGATTTGGGAGCGAGTTTTGTGTACACGTTTGATGCGAGTGCAACCTGTGGAATCGCGCCTCGGAAGTTTATAGAATACTCGATATAGCCGTGTCAGTGCGCAGAGCACGCGCTCGCAGCCGCACGCAGTTTGGCACTTGTCGCGATTGCGTGGGAAATTCGCAAGAGCCGCGCGGCGTGCCCCCCGTTATAATCTCTCGCAGTGCCAAATAATAGTGCCCGTGCAGTTTCAGTGCTTATCGCAGATACAGTGCGGTGTTTTTCGCCGATCATCGCCAAACCGTTCCGACTTTGAGCCGAAGAGCCGTGCAGCACCAAGGGTCGACCGAAGAAATCAAAGATCAGTTCGTAAATCAGATTCGTTCGAAAATCTTGATGGACGAAGGAGGACGGGTTCGACTCGTATGAGTAAGTTTCACGCGCTTCTTGGAATTTTTCAAGGTGTCCAGTCTTCAAAAGATTCGGATGTGTAATACATATGAATCGCGCGTGCACGCATGTATTTTTTAGCCCGTAAAGGTTTTCTCGCTCTTCCTCCAAATTTGTAGTCAGATGGACACATTTCAAGTACATCCGCCGTGAATTATCAAAACATTGGCCATGCAGTCGAAAGCCAACTAGTTGCCTTGGTACTTGGTAATAGTATATAGCATAGCTTGTTTCTTATGTGACATTGATGGTGGTCGAACGCATCTTGATTCCGCTGCTATCTGCCGAGTGGACGAGATCATATACACGCGAGCCTTCGATCCTCGCGACTCGCCAGTCTCGCCGGTTCGTCGACTCACTTATCGTAACGGTTTTTTCTCGCCCAGTTTTCTACATTTCCCCAACGCTCTTCCCCTGGCCGTTGCACAGAGAGCAGCGATTCGGGTTTTACAAACTAACCTCGAACTGCTCGAGAGATTTACATTCGCAATCTGTGGCGTGTGTATGCATATACGCACAAGCTCGAGGAGAAAGTCGTCGTCGCTCGGCAGGCCTCCGCGCATATAAAAGCAACAGTAGCGCGTTTCCTCGTTTTTATTCGTTTTTGCATGCCACAGCACTGCGGTCACTATCATATTTTTAATAAGCGCTCGCTTCTCTCTCCTCGATGCGCACTGGACTCGTGACTCGCCGCGGCGGCGGCGCATAGCAGCGAAGACTTCTCGCCCCTCGCTGAGCCTGCCGAGGAGGCGATCCTTTCCGCAGCAGCCTTTCTGTCAATTGCAACTCGTTCACGCGCTCGTGAGACCAGTCGCCGCTATACTGCACTCCTCGCGCCCCGCGATCGTCTCTCATCGAGCACTCACCTTGTGCGCGATGCCAAGGCTCGTTGGCAAATCTCAGCGATCCGTGAGCAAATCTGTTTTTACCTGGCGCTTCGACTGTACTTACCGAAACATGCCGATTTCGATCGTTGAACAATCGGCGGCTCTTTACCGATCATTATGAAAAATTAACTTTCACGCAGTAACTGCACATGACGTCCATTAGATTGGACCACTTGAAATTCAGAAATGATTTGTATTTTCAACATCCTATCGATACCGTAGATTATTTTAAATTCTCATTGTTTTCGATTCGAATACAATTCGATTTTTCAATTCTGTCAACTATTTATACACTTAATTTTAACCTATCAAACAAAACAAATAATTTTGAACCAACTACAAAGTTTTTGACCGATGATCTTACTAGACTGATGAGCAAACACGATCATATTTCATGGAGGATGCATTGAAAATTTTTGTTGAGCATTTGTTTTATCGTGAATGTAGCTTTCTGCTCCATCAGCGAGCATGCTATATTCTGACATTCTATACCTACTCCGTTTCAAACCAAGAAAAATGATATCTTATCAAATATTTGACCAATTAAACCAAATTGCACATTTTTCTAGAAATTGATTTATGGATGATTCAGTCGAATCTTATGATACAACCGATAAGCGTACAATTCACTCAGGAAGTGGAAAAAAATAAGTGGAACTCGTGCAAATGTCAATCACTTATTAGATATCGTCTTGAATACACTCGGCAAATTTTTATCTCATTGACTTTTGTAATCACAAGCGATTAACGAGTAAAATAATTATTTCATTCATATAAAATTTAATTGCAGATGGAAAAAGGTGCAAAAAGGCTAAAAGATGCCTCAACAACTGGAACATCAATTTCAACATCAAAGTCGACGACCGAAAAAACGAGTTAACTACGGCTCTCGCAGCATTGAGCTCGCCAGGGGCAGCAGTGGCTATGGTTTCACCATATCTGGTCAGCAGCCTTGTATCCTCAGCTGCATCGTACCCGATAGCCCGGCCGATTTGGCTGGTCTACGTTCCGGTGACTACCTGATCGCCGTAAATGGACGCGGGGTGCGTCGAGCAGCCCACGATGACGTCGTCAAGCTCATTGCTCGATCTAATGGAATTTTGAAATTACAAATTGCCGATAATTACTACAGCGATAGCAGCGAAGACGAAGAATCTATTGCCAAGATTCGTGCCAAGCCTAGATACAGGTAAGTGTCCTTGCACTTTTCGAATTAAATTTTTTTATGAGCTCATTATTGAGTATCTTTTTTCAATATTTGACAAATAAAAAAAAATAATTTTCTAGATATTTAATAAATATTTAATAATAATTTTTCAGATCTAAATCAAACCATGCCACAAGTAGTTCAGATTTTACGGTGCCATCGCTCCCTCAATGTCGAGTTGCGAAAGTTGTCCGAGATTTGCAAAGTGGAGCAATGTTTGGATCAACTTATCCAAACAATACAAAACCATCCAGTAGCTGTTCAAACTTACCCCATAGATGGAGTATGTCTAGTCAATTGCCGTTGCCACCGCCTCCTGCTGTAAGGAGGCATGATTCCGAAAAAATCGTACACAGAGCTGTTCTAGGCTACTTGGGCTCTCTTGAAATACCCTCTCACTTACAATCTGTTTCCATGGTATCGCTCGTAAAAAAGTGCATCAAGCGAGTCAAAGCTGAACAGCGTAATCCATCGACAGTATGTATCGTATAATTACTGCAATAACGGATTCACTTTAATTTTACATTTACTAAAATCTGCTTTTTATAATTACGTAGGTCTTACTCACTATTCACGTAGCTAATATAAAATTGTCCAATTTGGAAGGTCGCGTAATTGCCGAATATCCATCCAGTAGAGTCATCTATTGCAACTATTACTCAAACGAAGATAGGTTGCACTGTGGTATACTCACCAAAACTGGAGCCTCCAATAGTAATGTCGACTCTTCGTCGGATACAAATTCGTGTCATGTTTTTCGAGTTCTTTCAAATTTAACTCCGCATAAAACTCACTTGAGCACCAGTGCTGTGTTTGATTTTATGTGTACCAAAGCTAATGAACGAAATGATGCCTGCCAAGAATTCCCATCTAGCTGTGATGGTATTATTGGAGCCATACAAACTTTGTATGCTGGTGATGCGAATGAGCCAGAAGCTTGTAATTTATTCGATAATCGGCGTAGTCAACCGTCACCTCAACCTAGTAACTTGAGTTCATCAACAATACATTCGAGCAATAGCGATTCAGGAATCGGATTTAAAGATGAATGTGGGAGCCACGAAGAAAAAGTAAGATACTTCAGAATTCGTAAAACAAAGTATTTAGTCAACTCCTTTGAAGTTTTTTGTAATAATTTTAGAATTATTGAAACAAATTATAACTTTTTTTTCTCAGTGGTATTCATATATGAATGCTATCTATTGTAAGAAAAATAATCCTTAAACGCGTTTTTCTTTGAATGTGTTTTTCAAATTATTTGACAGCATAAGTCGGTAGATATGAGTAATTTGTGATCTTTTTGAAAATGAATTTTGCTTGAAATATTTCTTTCTTTGCACGCATTTTTAAGGGTTCTATACAAAATTTTCGTTGAATTTATATTGGTTATTTTTTATTTAATTTTATTATTTTCTTGAATCATAGTATTAAATTCATATAAAAAAATTTAACTTTAATTAATGATAATGAAATGTCAAATAACTACGTTTTCAGAGCATTGTAGTTTCTTCGTTGGAGAGAAAGATCAAAGATCCAAATGTATCAAAGTTGACGGTTCGCACTTTGTCAAATCCAAGATGGAGTGATTTTACTAGGTAATTACTAAATTTTACTTAAGTAACTTTTTTCAATAATAGATAAATGGATTTTAACGAAAAAATTATTACTTTGTCTTACATTTTTAAATATAATTGTATTCAAACTATTAAATTGGTAATTATATTTATTATATAATAATGAAATTCACAATGGCATTATAAAAATGATGTTGAATATATTTTTATGTTTATTATAAACTTATTATTAGTATTTTACTAGTATATCAATATTAAGATATTAAATAAAAATTGGAAGTCGTTAAATGAAACAAATGAAAAAGAAATAATCGTATACAAATTTCATTAAATGACTTGAATGAAATTTTATTTCCATTGCATACTTGAAATGCAGTTATTATAAGAGCAAAATTCGACAGCATTGGGCATCAGAAGTACCTTCTTGAAAGTTAATATAAAAGATGTTGATTATTTTATGATGTGTAAAAATCGTCAATTAATATTACAGACCGGAGACTCCGAGTAGCGATGAGCACGATGAGCACGATGATCGTCGTCATAATCATCATAATCGACGTCGCCGTTCACACTTGGAAGGCCCTTCACCGTCATCTCGAAATAGACGTACAAGTCGTCGACACCAACATCAGCATCATCACACTCGCTACAGTAGCGGTGGAGAGGGGAGCATTGTCAGCTGCCCAGCTGTACCATCTGGGCCTCGCTCGCAGCGCCAAAAGCAGCTTGCCGCTGCTAATGTTGCCGGCTTAGTGCGTTCGCCTCGCTACACTTCGACATTGTCCGTTGGGACGCTGCGTACTCACGATTATCCAAATTCATCCTCGTCCAAGGCGCGAAATCATCATTCAGCTAATCAATGGAATTCGTCGTCGCAAGTAGATATTCTCGATCGTCTTAGCCCGAAGGTAGGTTTAATTTTTATATCATTTTCATACGTTTAAAAATTGAACGTGACATTCAAACCATTGAGTCATAATAAGGAGTGGGGATCAACGGTTAATATTTAGATATATACGTATGCGCGAGTATGCAACGCCAAACGTGTTTGATAATATACACACACGTGTTTTGCTGCGTGAGTTTAATGTAAACAAACTCCAAAATATACTTATCTAATTGAGTGACGTTTCAACGATGAGCTGTCATTTGATAGCATTAATTTAGAAAATTGTTAGAAATATGGAAAATTTTAATTTATAAATAATCAAATTTATTTTAGAATAATGTATTATAAGGAGAATGTTTAATTTTACTGCAGGTTTATACCAACGGCATGAAGATTCAAGGATACAGTATGGAAAATTTAAAAACGAGTCCTAGCTCAAAGTCTCAATTGGAATTTTCTTCATTCCCACGAAATAACGATGTTGCGGCTGCAAACGTAAAATCTCCAAGGCCATGGGGTAGTATGCAGGAAATTCGACAGGTTAATGACAGCGAGCCTGACATCGGCACATTAAGCACGGTTAGTACTAATATAACTTGTGAATTTTGTAAATATAGTTTTTTCAATTATTTTGATACAAATAAAAATAAGTTTAATTGATTCAATTGAAAATCGCTAAAGAAATCGATCCAAAGATTGCGAAGACAGCGAATTGATCAAATTACTAATAATAATAGAAGTATGTTAAAATCCAAAAAAATTATTTCTAGTGGCTAACATTTTTTTGTGGATACATTGTGTATGCATCAACCGACCCTTTTTTGCATGATTTTTTTTTAAACCCAATTTTCTTATAATATAGTTAAATATTTGAAATATTTCTAAAAATATTTTGATGATCGAAATGTTAATTTATGACTCATGAACTTCTTGGAATTCAATGAAAAAAATCAATAAACACAAAAGTTATGTAAAATGGATCATAAAAATTTTCATACAAGCTATATACATTGAATCTTCTCCACTTAACACTCTTGAACATAAATTACGTTACACTCTGAATAGCGAGATACATTTTTTGTGTCAATGACTTGTGTAAGAAAGAAAGTTCTAAAATTAGTGTATTGTTACCATAACATTGAACTTGAATATTGACTTTTGAAATAATTTCAAGATACGAATGACTGCGGGTTTTTTGCATATTTTGAGTTGATATTTATTTTTATTTAAAGTTTCCATATTTTTTAACTTTTAAATATACGCATATAATCGAAATCATTGTTACTTTGATAAACACCAAAAAACATCTCGGTACCTTTATAGTACGTGCTTTATGAAAAATTGTAAGTGGTGTAAATGGATATATCAATTAAAATGACCAAAAGAATACTGCAGAATGCAGTAAGGAATATATATTATTAAAAAGGGCAAAAGGAAAAGAAGTGAATATGAGCATTTATGTATTGCGTGAGTCGTGTTCACAGCGTTTGCAGTTCAACTCGGACTGAAGCATAAAAGAAGGGCTGCCTACGTAGTATATACACGCAATATATTATAATATGGTGTGTATAGTCGCGCTTGCACTGTATATACAATTTCCTTTTGGCTCTCGCTGCTCGTGTGCAACGTCGCATCATCGCTTCCTGCCCCGCGCTCAAAATGCACACGGCTCTAATAAAATCCATTCATAGAATTCGATTTCATCTGTATGCGTTGACGAAGATAGGAGATAACAGTCGCGCTGTTTGGACTCGGTAATTCCTTCTCGCAAAAAAATCGACTCGAGTTACTCGGTTCGGCAGAAGATGAAGGCAATTCATTCATTGACCGCGTTCAAAACTTACTTGGAATATCAAGTTCGCTGCCTCCAAATGTTGATCGAATCAGCTAGTCACGAAAATAGATTAACGCGATTCGTGCATTTTGTTCACTTTACTACTAAGAATTCATGTGCATGCAGAATTTATAGCAAGTTCGAAGGTTTAATTATTTCCGTAGTTGCTCAGGGTTCCGAGTGGCCACGTCCGATTGTACTCAAGGTTGATTAATCTGCAATTCCATGCAGGTAGAAAAAGAAATATAGTCAAAGATCGAAGTTATTGGGAGACGAGCGGATGTACGGGAGCAATTAGTGTCAATTGAGAAAATGCTCTCGTGCTGCTCAGCTGGCTTTTTACAGAGCGTCATGCTTTCATAGAAAGGCTAAACTGATCGCTTGACAACCCGGTTTGAGCACATGAAATGACACACTACGTGCAGTCGCTCGTACAACATGTATTTTTTCGTAAATATTATTTATTCGTCAGAACGAGAATGATGAAAAATCAGAAAACTCATGTCTCGGAAGGCTGCTCGTGAACGACACCGCCCATCGTCTTTTTTTGTGTCGCGATCGCAAGCGAGTATGGTGTAATTATCGAGCTAACTGTGCTCGGCGCGAACAATACCCTCCTCGTTGCTATTCGAAAATGGGCAACAGGTGTATGGTACGGGGCTCAGGCAGCGTCTACAATTACTCGTAACGCGCATAGTAGTATACAACGTAGGCAGCATGTATATAATTTTTCCAAATCATTACACTAAATTTTGCGCTGTACTCGTACAACTCTATGTATACGGGTCGCGATTTCTCGCCAGGATCTCTCTCTCTTTTCCAAAGCTAGCCCGCTCGTACGTATATGCTCCGAATTTGCCCGCAACTATACAGCTTTCTCTCTATATCTATATTTACTTGTAAAAGTACTCTTGCGTGGACGCGCTGCGTGAGGCGGCTATTCGTTGCACATATAATACGCCGCCGGCTCCATATAGCGAGTGGGAGGATGAGGTAGACTTTGTTGGGCGGGGGACCCAGGGCACCGCACGCACCGAGGCTCGCGTAGGAAAGCGCACACCGGAATCACGCGCGAGGGGGGACTGACTCCTCGACTGCACGACTCGATCGAAGATCGGCTGCAGTCGCTTAGGTTACTGCCTCGGCAGTGCTCGGCCAAACGCTTGCAAGAGCTGACTCGTTGTTCGCGTCCGCGCCTCGAGGCTTCCGACTCGAGATTCGTCACTCGAGTCTTGACTTTTTGCCTCTTACTGCGGCTTTTGTCGGGCTGAATCGCGTGCCGCAACATGTCCTGAAATTCGTGCGTAGGACTCGTGAAAGTTATCGGGCTCAAGTGTATACGGAGGTCGATCGCACTCGTAGGCTAATCGAAAAGATAAGATTGAGCGTCAAAGGAGCATCGGTCGTTCGCGTTTCTTCGAGGCTCGCTCGAGAGCTGCGAAAGCTGCGAGCCCGAGTGTATCGTCGATCAGTGAGGGCCTACTGCTAGCACCGACTAACACGATCAAATGGGCCTACCACGAAGAAAAAGAAGAAAGAGGCCGAGATCCGGGCCATCGCCGATCGCGTACCATGAGCCGCTTGGTAAGGAGACAAACGAGAGAGCAGCAGCAGCCCCAGTCCCGTCGTACTCTACTACTATCGTCGTAGTAGCATATTATACATATACTCGTGCGAATAATAACGAAGCATGGCGCGTTCCCCTGCATTGTCGCCTGTCGTACGACGCTCTAGTTTTCCGACGACCTGTTTATCTGCTCAGGCAGCGCAGCAATGATTAATTCAATCCTCAATTGTGTCTCGCTCTTAACGGTATTTCGTTAGCTATACTTGCGGTGGCTTCCTTGGGAATTATTATATACCGACTGCCGTTCGTGCAGCAATAAGTGATCGAATTATTGTCTAATACATCATGCTGTTGAAGACGCCTGTCACCGTGGCGATCTCTTTAAATACGCAATGATCGGGATGCCGTAAGCGACTCGCGACGATATTACGTTTTTATGCAAGGTCTTATTTACATAGTACACAGCTTATCGCAGAAAAGGCAGATGCTCGAAGGAGCGTTCCATTTTTCCTGCGCATTCGAGCGTAAGCGATAGATGTATGCTTTAATAATGATTTAATCGTTTGATTATAAAGGTCGAATTTTTTTCTTTGCTTCCATTGACATTCGATTCGTCGACGTACGAATCCAATCGCTCCGATATGCTGTATAGAGAGATCACTCGGTGTCTCGCAATCTTTGTTTCGCGCCTTCGACGCTAATCTGACGCGTTTTATATTCGGAAAATATTGATGCGTCCATTAAAATACTGGACGCTCCGTTATTAAATTATCCGCCCATCCATTCGAGTTCGCTTTAATTGCTCGCAGGCTGTCTGGCTTGGCGCACATAAACAATAGCCTGGCACACAGGCGCTCTCTGGCTCGTCTATGAACTTTGCAATATATACGTACATATAAAATACGTTCGTGCGGTTGATTATTATGTTTTGGCCGAGCTGTTCTAAGAAAACGATGAGTATATATATATGAATCCGAGCGATTCTCCTCGCTCCTCCGTGCGGCCGCACATTATTATTATACCTATATGTATGTCTGCGTCGGACCGTATTGCAGAGTAGAGTCGGAACACATGCATATAATATCGTATATACCAGACTATACACACACAGAGATACTTTCACGTCCCACCCAAGTCTCGTATCATCGTCCAAGGAGCGTTTAGAAAGCAGCAGCAGCACGCCACTATTTCTGCGCAAGTCGTTCTTTTCGTCATTCACTACTTCTGAGCCTCTCGAATTTCTTGCGATTTCGCCTGTAACTATTATCTATAGGCTGCACTTATCTTCCACTCGATGTATAAATTATACATCTCCCTTTGATTTAATGTCAAAACAAACGCCCGACACAATGTACCCACATGAAATACGTAACGTACGCTAATATTTCGCTTCAATTAGTGTATCTATGTGATTTAATGTACTTCTCATTGCAACCGGAAGTTTATAATTATCTCATGCCGACTAATCTTTTATCTAGATTAAAAATTCATTTGGAAAATTCAAATTCAAATAAATGAAATTATCAACGCACTTTGCAACAATGATGCGTTGATTTCAACTTGAAAGTTCGATGGCTCCTAGTAATAAAGCGCTCCTTCAGAGAATACTGCATTAGAATGGTTTTTTTTAAATTTCTTGTGGCATGTCTCCTTTCATACATTTGGTCCTGTAAACTGTGACCACTACAATGTGAATTATAATTGAATGAGTTTTTATGTTATGTAAAAATTATACATATTTAATACTATTTTTTTTCTCATTTCCATTTTGTATTCCAGCACGGGAGTACCGAGTCGTGTAATAAGCCTACAGAACGAGGAGTTCACACATGGTCAACTAGCTTCGAAAAATTATTGGAAGATCCAATGGGATTGAAAACGTTCGCTGTGAGTTAAAAAACTTTTATTCGAGTTATTTTCGTTTGCAAATATTTTCATAAAAGTACTAATTTATTTTAAATTATTTGAAATATTTTACAGAAATTTCTGAAAAAAGAGATTAGTCACGAAAACATATATTTTTGGGCAGCTTGTCAACGTTATTCGAGTACAAGCGACGTAGCTGCTCGCAAAAAGTTAGCTCAACAAATTTATCAACGACATTTGGCAAATAACGGACCTGAACCTGTCAACATTGATAGTACTGTAGCTAGTAGAATAACTCCAGAATCAATTCACATAGCTTCTAATGATTTATTTGCTCAGGTATATTTCTCAGTTCATTGAGAAACTAAAAAAAGATTGTCCTAAGAAATACTTGACACGTTTTATTGCTTACAGGCGCAAAAACAGATTTTCAATTTAATGAAATTTGACAGTTATCCACGTTTTCTGCGTTCGGACGAATATCGTAAATGTTTAGAATCTGGCTGTGATGACGAAGACAATCCCGTCGAAGACAATGATCTTCTTTTATCAAGTTCTTCCAGTACAAAATTAAAGAAAAGCGTGTCTGACGCTGAAGATCGGTGCAGAAAGTCTATTCTTCCTTGGAACAGAAAAAATAGGTAAATTGTAAATTGACACTATAATACCTAATTTTTATATTTTCTAATTCATTTTACTCATTTAGGTCCAAGTCAAAGGATCGCGGTGAATCCGAATACAACAAAACACCAAATAGAGGAGAGAAAATTTACAAAAGTTTTTCTACCATACAAAGAGAAAATGATGGTAATATTGAAGAAGATGGTGCTTCTATTTCAAGTAGTCGGTCATCCTTAGCATCGTGGGATCTTGCACTACGTCAATCGTTCACAAAACACGTAAGGAAAAGATAACATTTTCAATAGTAGTTTTTTTTTTTTTTGAGTTTTTCACTAATACCATAAGTTGTTACATTTTTTGAATGGTTAACCTCTTCCAGAACTGTAATCTTAATAGTTCTGAAATAGTCGTTTTGTTTGATTTTACTTGTATTTGGTATTCTATTTGAGGGTTGGAAAAATTTATAATTTGTCGAATTTGAGCTACATAAAATCACAAACAAAAGTAAAGCACTTTTAATCTTCGGACGTTCTAATATTTTTCTCGAATAAACGAGAGCTCAAAATCGATAATTTTAACTTGTAGTCGGCCTCGTCCTATGAAGGACAGTCGAACGAGATTCAAGAAAACGTCGTAGCTAATTGCGCTGGACTATGTCGAGTCATCTTGCCGGACGGCTCGACCACGGTTATTACAACCAATCATTCGGATAGCGTCAAAGACGTCCTGACACGTCTGCTCGAGAAACGCGCTCTACGATACTCAAATTACGACGTCTTTATGCTTGCTACAAATGAGGTTTGTGTTTGAATACTCTTAGAATTAGATCTTCATTGCGGATTTCATCTAATTGTTATTTATCGTAGATGCCTTTTATCAATTCGATAGAGTGCATGGTTTTCGAATGATTTTTCATTGAATCAAATTTTACCTCTTGGCTTGGTATTTTTTAACGCTTGCTTAGTTTTCATAGTACTTTCCGCATCTCATTAACAACAAATCCAAATTTTAATTTTACATTCGATAATGTTAAAATTGATTATTATTTCAGATCGTTAATCTTAAGTACCCAAGCTCAGTATTATCCAGTCAAGAAGTAGAAGTAGTGCCAACGAAAACTATTAAGATTGATTTGCCGTCTCGTCGAGTTATCAGTGTAGTCGCCCACAAAGGCAAAACTTTAAAAGACGTTCTAAAACCACTTTTAAACAAATATGGTCTTAAACTTGACCTCATAACGATCTGGGCTGATGGGCATCCCATAACGCTAGATATTCAAGCTAGAGATGCACCGGCAAGGCTCACTTTAACTTCAAATAATAATAAAGGTAAAAAAACATTATTTTAAAACGAGTAAAATGAAACTATTTTGCAAATAATATTTTAATTTGATCGTAAATACTTGAATTTTGAACGACTTTTTAGATACAATCGATGATGCTTTTTTATTTAAAACTCCGGAAGTGCCAAAGGGTCAATCTTCTTTAGATGAAATTACCAATAAAGTATTTGAAGAGCTGCGAGTAGGAAAAGTTAATAAAAAGTCGGACACTGATAATGGTTCGTGCAAGGTACAGTACATTAAATAATCATAAAATAAAAAAAGCGTGTGAATATTCGTGAATACAATGAATTAAGTTGAATGAATGATTTTTCAGTCAGATGATCAGAAATCTGAGGGTTCTTCAATTCGTTCTGGCAAATTCTTCTCAAGAGATTCGACTCTTTATATAAGAAAAAAGGTTGGTGAATCAATTATACTTCTGAATTAATATTTAAAAAAATCTATGTAATCATTTTAAAATTTTAAATATGTTATTATAGGCGAAATCGAAAAGTAGTAACTTGAGCGAAAAAAGTGGTTCAGAATGCGGAAATGATGACGGAAATAAAACACAAACCCCATTGATAGCGAAGTGGAGAAATGGTGTTAAACTTCAATTACCTAGTCGATTTGATGGAGATGGTAAAAGTAATTATTTCAATTGAGTTTCATTTATTGTAGTTGAAATGGTATTTAATTTTTTTGCGTTACAGATTTGTATGAAGACTTAAAACGAGCTCAACGACTGAGACTAGAAGATCAGAGGGGAACAGAAATTAATTTTGAACTCCCAGATTTTTTAAAAGTAAGTCTTGATTTCAATCAAGAACTATAAATATTTTTAAATAATTTTGCAATGATAAATTTGGAATTAATAAATCATGACTTTTGTTTAAATTTAGAATAAAGAAAATGAGAAGACCCCCGACAGCAAGAAAAGCCGTAAAACGAATACAACGTTAAAGAGTAGTGAACACAGTAAATTTTATGAAGCTGAGGAGGAAAGACCATTTTTAGAAAGTAGTTTCAATGATTCTGCTTCTCTAGATGGCACAATTATTGAAGCTAATAGAACTGTTGTTGAAAATGGAAAATCAAGTATCCTAAATAATTCTCACGAGGATGCATCTCAAATTTCGCCGTCAAAATTGTCGAAACCTCCACCACTTCCCCCGAAACCAAAGAGTTTAGCAAATTCTGTCCGAAGTAATGTTCTACCGTCGAGACCGTTTCAACGAGTTGCAAATTTTGACAAGAAGCCGATTTGAAATCGTGTAGCTTAAATATGTTCTAATAGCCCTAATAGCGGACCAATTAAAGATTATATATAATTTATAATCGACTAACTACTGTGTAACATTTTCATTGCATATAGCAATTAGAGAAGTAGCACTTTGTATTGTATATAAAAGTGATATATATATAATTATAAAATCGAAAATATTTCTATAGAGATTTACGCGAAAAGACTAAAAATGTATAGCACTAATGAAAATAATTGTTACTTTATATTTTTCGAGAAAATTATAAAATAAATATAACTCAATCGAGTAGTAAGTATTATTAACTTTTAAACGCTGTACGGAAAAAAAATAAAATCTATGAACTACGTTCAAATGAAATATCATCTTTAATTCCATTTTACCTCTCCGAAAAAAATTTCCAATATTTTGATTCTTTTTGATAATGATCGCTTCATTTTTCGAGTTTAAAAATCAATCATAAGTATCGTTGAATGCATCGTGTCGTGCACATTTAAATTGTGGACGCAAAGATTAGGGTGTCGACTATCGATCAACTGTTCTCACGAGCGATGCAACAAAAAGCGCGCGCTAACCCTGCTCCTTGCAAGACATAAACATAAAATTCCCAGAGCAGATTGGCCAGACGGTCATTGGCCCGGTTACAGCCTAAACCGCCCGGCTGATCGCATTTCGCACGTCCAAATCGAGCTCTTCAGTTCCTTTTTCTTCGGAAAAGCTGTTCACACGCCTTTAAACGCACGGAGTGTTCAGTTGCATGAACCCTTGAAGTGGTTAGCCGGTTGAAAAAAAGCAAAGCGATCAGTGAAAACGCGGGTGATTTTGGCTTCATTTTTTTAAACGATTCGTATCGAGAGAAACGTTTATTTAAAAGAAAATATCGTTCTTATCGGGAACCACCGTTTATCTAAAAGAATGAGTGTGCCGAACGACATTAGCGGTTTAAAATACGATCGTGGCAGTGATCAACTTTCAGTGCTGGAAGGACGGACTAGTATTTGATAGTCGACGACCGCCTGTCAAGTGCCAAACGATCGGCGCACCTTCCCGCCTAAATTTATCGTTCGCGAAATTGTCATCGACGACACACAGAGTCAGTGCCCTAGCCTAATCGAGGTAAACAAATAGCGAGCATTTAAAGCCAAATAGCCTCGCGACTCGAGGCACACGTGATCGGTCCAAGAAATTTTGCGAGTGCTCGTCAACTAGTGTAGGCTCGGTGTTATGATCGAGCCGACATTTAAACTTTGCACGTCGGCCGTTCGATGAGTCGACCGTTTAAAAGGCTCTTCCAGCAGTGAATGAAGCGTTGCCTGTATACCCCGCGTATACTTTGTAAATAGTGATAAATAACAGCATCATGAAATTGACGTTAACGTGTAGTGTGCCGTTGCTGTTATTTATTAATAAATTGTAAAAATTGTAAATAGTGATCATCTGAAATATAGTTCATTTGTTTATTGTACATATATATAAATCTCGTGCGTGCGGGCATCGAAGTGAATTTAGTCGTTTGAAAACAAAAAGTCGTGCGTGATCGCGAAATCGTGCTCTGTATGCATTTTGTAGATAAAGCACAGCGATTAATGTGCAATTTGGAAAATCCTCCCGGCGCAAGTGGGCGATTGACTAATCGCGAGAGTGAACTTTGTGCCAGTTGAGCCCGTGCAGTGGCAACCTTTTTGGCACAGTCGCTGGTGGAGTTGCATCCTGGGATTGCTTCATCATTGCGTATACAGCAAGCAATCATCGTCGCTGGTGAGCCTTTTAAAAATTTGTCGCTTTATTATTATTATTATTGCTTGCCCTCGAACGCATGTCGCGCGCACATTTTACGCCATCAGGTCGGTTTACCTATACAACGGGTATAACCGACGCATTCGAACGGACCACCCAATTTCAAAAATGCCCAGATATAGGTATACGTCACGCAAGCCGAGGGTGGGAATATCGGAGGTGCTTTTAATACCTCGATGAGTGAGTGAGAGAGAGAGAGAGAGGCTGCTGGTAGTGCCTAGCACAGATTCGGTGTAATATTTCTGGAGCTCAGGTAGATCGATTTCTCGTACTCGCTAATTCGGCCAATTAATCCGGCGAACAAAATATCCATGAGAGATCGTCGATGCGAGCCGAGCAGTTGGCGCTTTTTTTTCGCCCGCGCGCGCAGCGGTGGCTATCCACTAATAGGCTGGAAACGTCATCGCTTTTTGGCGCGCTGCTGCTTGCCACATATTATCATAGAATTTTGTATACATCGCGGTACTCGCACCTAAATAAAATCGCGGGGCTAACCGATGCTGCAGATGCTGCGAAACTCGTCGAATTTACGCATTTCACAAATCGCCCGGATCTGCCGGTCAATTGTTCGGCGTATACACATATTTCGTGATATAATACATTTATCATCGGCGAAAGATTCACGACATGCAGAAATTCGACAAATTAGCTCGGATAGCCGCGTGCGAATCGTACTAGATGTATCATTCGTTGCTGTGGTGGGAGCTGCGCCGACGTGCCACTCTTCATACATATCTATGTAGGTCTATTAACGCATACACAAATCATAATGGCAAATGGCAATTCGAACGGCCGATTCCCGAGAGAGAGAGAGAGAGAGAGAGAGAGAGGGAGGAAGAATTATGATTAGTAGGCTGTGGGTCGCGGTGACTGTTCGTATATGGCATGCGACGAGTCGACGTCGTGGGACTCGGATATGGAACTTTAGTGTTAGTAGCGAGCAGTGCGCAGCTTTTAACGTCCTAACGTGCAGGGAGATGCTCCGAAATGGACAACTCGGTACTCTTGCGGACGTAGGCGTGTCATCTCGCTCACTTTATTTATAGATAATGTCGTATGCGGCACTTGCATGCCGTACGGCTCGTAAGCTCCAAGACTCGACTCAATTACTCTCGAGACAAGAAGAGAATCCAATGACTTTCGCACGCGGAGTCTCGTAATCCTATACGCGCATCTCGAAATGCAAAACGAGGCCGTCGATCGATCGACTCGCTGCTGCTATCTAGTCGCAAAATTTCATCGGTTTACGCCGAGCGATTACGCGCTGCACATCTGCCGCAGTTAGCCTCGTAGTATAGTTTGCGCGTTTACACTGTCCCTCGTGCAGTTACAATGCCTCTCTTTCTCTCTCTTTTCTGTACTACGTACGATGGCCGCTTGACCCTTGTTCTCTGGTTTCGCTCGCGCGCGTCGACGACGGTTATATATGCGCGCCTTCGCCCGATGTCGCTTGGCCTTTTTTTTTTTATTTTATTTCTTTATTCATTACACCGACTCTCTTCGGCAATACGATCCGCCGAGCAAGACTTTGCATATGCGTGCCCACCCACAATCGCGAATCGATTGACTTGACCGCCTCCGTGCGCTTCCGATGTCGGGCGGCCTTCGCTCCGCGCTCTGCTTCAATTTACATCAATCTGATCGAAAACAAACCCTGCTATAATTTGTAAAAACTAACACCTACACTTTTTATGCTAATTGTTTAGTTGTAAGAGGGTCCGAAGCTCTAGAAGCTTGCAAGTGTTACATTATAAATATTTTTATGTTCCAGGTATTTTTCTGCGTACCAGTTTCATCGATACCATTTGTGCAGTTGTACCTCCCCCCATTACTTTGTACATGCCTATGTGTGAACCTCTGGTTTTTGTCACGTTAATTTTGACAGCGAAACAATCGATAGTTTGAACAAGTGTCAAGTCGATTTACACGAGAGCCAATCGTAATCGACGGCCTTTTACTCATATATAATCATCACTATATAAATATATCTGTGAAGCATATTGAAGTGTGTGCAAGATGTCTCAGCGAATGAATTTGGTCAACTGCGAGTTGAAATTTGAGTCCGAAGTAACGGAAATGGACAGTAGTAAGCTGTCGAAAGAATCAGTGGTCAAGTCATCGACCGAGTCTCCGCTGACGCCCATCACTAACATCACGAGAGAACTGGAACGCTCCGTATTATCAGCAGCACCTGATATTTGTATCGAGCCAGAAATCAAGCACTCCTCAGGTATGGCTTTTTTAAAATAATTTTTCGCATATCAAACGAATAAAATCTCCTGAAAATCTACCATTTCATACATACATACATGAAAAAAATTTTTCGATATATTGACGGTCGCCCTAATCATACCCTAAATTGTCTGAAGAAGTCCTTTTAAGCTCAACCCTTTCGGTCTCGACAATGAAAACAAGTCAAAGGGGCGATTCGATTTTCGAACGGGTTTCTCATAGACCACATGTATCAGAAAAAATGAATGCATAGCAGATGTGAGACGCATGAACTATAACATCTATAAGGCAGTGAAAAATCAAGAGATCCACATCGACCATATTTCCCTTAATATGTTTACGCTCAAATGAGCTAAAATAGAAAAGCTTTTTCTGAATGATTATTTTTCCTTTCTCGAAAAATGCACACTGGTCAAATGTTAATTCTTGGGTAACATGTCATAACTTGGCTTTTATTATTTTCAAACTGCGCTAGACAATTGAATCGGCATTTTTTACACCAACACCAGGTTTATAAATTTGTTACATACATTTGTGTCTTCTACAATAAAAAACTCGATCGTCATTGATCGAAGAGCTGTAAAAATCGCACCCTTTCAATTCGAAAAAATGGCCCATGCTCGGGGTTGACAAATTCAGCCGCCTAAGAGATAGGGTTGCGGGCATTACAAATGAGAAATAAATGCCGACAGCAAATTTGCCGCGGTATAAAATTAATGAAGCCCATCAAGCATCGCAGCGGCTAAAACAGCAACGCTTAATAATCGAGGGCCATGAGGGCAGCAAATATATATAATACGTACGTACGACGACGACGACGAGTAGCTCTCAAGGTGTAAATAACTCGTGCCATACGTCCATCAGCAATATATATACGCGCGCGTGCGTAACAGACGTGTATGTGTGGAGCTGCTTGTACGCGGCATCACATTTACTGCATAGCACATCGAAGCGATACTACATAATAATACAAGACACGCAGAATAGCTCGGCAGCGTAACAATTTATATACGGGCTTACATAGGCGCGGTATTCGGCAGCAGACGTCAGAGTGCACCAGCAGGCACCAGGTGCTTTTTTTACCCCCTTGTGTATGTGCGTGCCTTAGCACACCCGTCTTCGTCTGGCGCCCTTAAGTTTTCGCGATTATCCTCGACCCTTCTATGCTTTTGCATTTTTCTTATTCCTTTACTTCTTCTTAGTTTTCGCGTTTTTCTCCCCTTTTCCCCTTTTCGTGTATTTCCAATAACGGTATACATTATTCGAATGCCAATTCGTAAATTTTATTTGGTTACGTAACTTTAAGACTACTGCAGCATGCAAGTATTGATAAATGTTGACGAGGAGTTTTTTATAATACTAATACGAAATTATTGCAAAAAAAATTGTTTATATTTATATGGAGTGGCAGTTCCAGATCACCTTGTTTATAGATCTTTCAAACCGAAAAAAGTGAGGGGAATTTACTGAGTCTATTATGATTCGGGGTGTCTATAGGGCACTGACCTAACCCTTATTTCTTCGCGCGTCCTTTGCTCAGACCGTTACAAGATTCTAGATCAGCTGTTCGCACTTGGCGCAAAAAACTAGTCATGTTCTTTGCCGGCTTCTCTTCGTAAGTGCGTACGCCGTGTGTAGCTAGGCCGAGTAATCCCCAAATATCACCTATTGCATTGGGATCAATTAGTTTAAAAGAAAACAACATTTTAAAGATTGATTTTCTTATTTATCTTGAGAAAATGTTGACAATTTATTATTTTATTATTACAGAGCGAATACTGCACAAGATTACAAAGTTTACTGACGTACAATAATTAACAAAAATTGTTCAAGTCATACTAATCCTGTTGTATAGTTTTTTTTCATTCGAAACTGTTGCATACAACTTTTTGAGAACCCAAGAGGAACGGCGTAATTGAATTTTTCAAAAATACCAAAATTTTTCTAAAAATTCTCAAATTCTGATCAAAACAATTTTTATCGTGAATTGTTCATTTTTAAAAAGCTTAATTCATTGCTCCAATTCATAAAGGTGGAATTGTTATTGACGAATAAAGTTACACAATTTGTCCAATAAATAACAGAGTTCTCCTCTTGATATAACAAGCACAGAGAGCAGGCATAACGCTCAGTCATGAAATTCTTAACACCTTTATGCTTGAACGAGTTCCCTTGAGTGAATAAAAAATCCACGTATATATGAGCCAAGCTCTATAGTCCCTTTTTGACGTCGTCGTCGTCGGGCGATCCAGACTCGTCAATACAGCAACAAATTTTTTGTTTTAAAGAAAAGAGGGTTTCGGTGCGTTTGGTGAGGTTTAGAAAAGAGAGGGCCTGTATCAGGGGATACGGCCGACTGGAAAAGGGCCCGTTAACGAATTCTCTTGTATATAACTTGATGCACCCTCGGTGCGTTACGGCTACAATGTGCCTGCAGTAGGCATCGCTGCCGTAGTCGTCGTCGTCGCCGTATTCGTCCTCGTCTAGATGGCAAACTCGTCTCTTTCGAGGCACCCTCTTGTCTCGTTCGTTCTTTCGCGAGTATTGCTTCTCTGTACATGCATACACACAGACTGCATACATATAAATACCTCAACATAGAAAAACAGAACAGTATACGAAGAGAGAGAACTCGGCTCTTCTTTTCATTCAGTCTTGGCGTGCCTCCCTTAAGAATCGCGACCTTAGTCAGTATACTGTACTGTATGTTGCCGCGTATACGTGCGTTTCCCCTTATAATATAGGTGCATGCATTTTTTCATCCCTTATTCGGTTTATTGTCGACGAGTTCGGGGCAGTAGCAGCCCATCGAATTTAAAAAGCCCATCTCTCTTTCCTTTTCCTTTTCTCTCCATTTCGCTCTCTCCATCCTTATCCCTGCATTTCTCTCTTTATCTCTTCTACCCTCTCGGTTGCTGTTGTTCTTGTACTCTCCTTGCCTGACGCTCGCGGGCCCTCGGCATTTAAACTTTAAAAACCTTTGGTGTACCTATATGCGGCCGGGCTCCGAATTCAAGAATACTGCTGTTGTTGTTTTCGTCTTTCAACCGGCCCCTGACACGTGCTCGGCCCGTTTTTTGGCGGGATTCGGCTCTCTCTCTCTCTCTCTCTCTCTCTCTCTCTCTCTCTCTCTCTCTCTCTCTCTCTCTATCTCTCTCTATTTATAAATGTATGTGTTCGTTTGCTTATACGTAGCATGACTATATACTCATGCGCGCCTATTATTTTTTGTCACTGTTACTGCTGTGGTAACTATTTTTTTCTAATGCTACTTGTTCTCCTAGGTTGACATTGATTGTTAGATTTTCGATTATGTCTTCATAAAATTACTTAATTACAATTTCCGTACATAAAAGGCTTAATAAGGTTATACTTCAACCAATACATCGGGTCAGTGGAGAAATTATATAACTTTTCTATGCCTATATGCTACCATTTATATTGAGCAATATTGAAATTAAATGCTTTATTAATGCTAATAGATTGGAACCAACATTGGAGCGATTGCGCACATAATTCTAGTTACTGGTACTGGAAGCAGTAACAAATCTTATCGTAAGTAAATCGGTGTGCGACATTTGCTCTAATTAGCATCCTTAATGTGACTTATGCTATTAGAAACTATTTAATTTCACAGTAGAAAGATTGTTAGGAGATTTATTCGTTAATGAATTTCTTACATTATAGAGCAGTAAAAAATTTTAAATTTCAAAAATTCGGAAGTACTTCCTAAATAATATTTCTCAAGTGTGTTATTGCACAAAACTAGCAAGGCTAAATTGGTTTTTTATAATCATTTACTGAATGAATGCTGTAAAATTGAAAATCGAATATTATGTAAAAGATTCTTTCTCACAGCCCTCATTTTTTAAATTGAACTATCTTCCCCTTCATGTTATGAACCAATCGATGAAATTTGAATCGATTATCCTGATACGTACGATATATGTATTAATATACGATACGGTACTTGGAAAAATCTTCTTTATGAATTAAATAATCTCGCATGACGGGTTCGATTACGCCAATAAGCTGACTATTTTCATTTGAAATGAATGTAATACTTATTGGATATAATACATTTTCAATGCACGATCGATAATGAAAGTCGATAATTAGATCGGAGCACAAGCTAAGACAAAAGCTGAATCTGAGTGCTGGAAAAGATAAGATAATATATTGTAGGGGGATAGATCAGGGCACGCGCGTGGGTGTGTGTACGTAAGGTCGCGTGCCGGCATCAGCTGCTACTTTCCTCCAAGCTGTCGTTTCCCTCGTGCTGTCTTATACAACTGGAACGATGCGCACGACCGAGAAACACCTTTCTCATTCGCATTTTTACACTTATATAGAATAGCGAATACGTACATATTGCTGCTACGTAATACGGCGGGACCCTCGAGTCTCAACGGAAAATGCAAGCTAGTTGTCTGTAGAAAACATGTATAACTTGGAGAGGGAGGACTTCTGCAGAGGTCAGCGACTATTCACCTGTTGCTAGTTGGTTTTTGCTTTTCCTCTTTGAGAGAGCAATACCCTTTTGCTGGCTAACGAGTTCGTTATTTTTTATTTTTGTAAGTGCTTGAATCTAATTCAATATAATTAAATTTCCGCCGAAATGTTCAAAAGCCTGGTATATGACTTTTGATTTTAGTGCTGATTTGTATTATTTTACAGAAACTTTGAGCGACAAAGAAAAATTCCGTTCGACATTTTGAGATTCGATGTGAACGCTTAAAAGTAAAAAAAATGCACCAACATGCGGTGCCGTAAGGTAGAAAGTTCGCAAATTCAGTCGTTTTATCGCGTCAAAAGAAGAAAAGGTCGATGGTCCGAGAAGGGGTCCATGACCCGGTGGAGGGCGAGCGAATTAAGGGAACAGCCAGTCAAGCAAAGGCTCTATATGTACCTTTATAGTAACCTATGCAATGTAGAAATGTAGACAACAGGGGTGAATCAAAAACCTTAGAGATTCAAGAAGCATATCGCAGAAACTAC